AACACACTCAACAACAACAACAACGCACACATCAAAACCAACCGAATGCCCGAATGCCTCCCAAATAAAAACACCAACAACAACTACAACCGAACGGGGTCACCAATCTGCAGTAGTCGGTAAACGTAAGTTCGATGGAGGTCACCAAAATCCGGCAGATGTTAAGCGACGTTACCCGAGCGGTTTAATAGGAAATGGCGGCAGTTGGGGCAGTTTACCGCTACCACAGCAACCTTTAGGCACCAATGGTGAACAGTGGTACATGGATACGTTTTCGGCATGGAGTTAAAACCACACAGCAACCCAATTGAAATCAGTTAAATGCATCATTAACGACAACAACAACAGCAACCACAACAACAGCAACAAAAGCAGCAACACAAGGAAGTTACAACCACAAACAATTATTTCCTCCGAGCGACAACCTGGAGAAGAATCCCTCGCGTCATAGTAAACGAGAAATAGCAACCGTTCTTAAAAGCAATAAATTTAGTTTCGACAAACTATTTAAGGTATAAGAATTAACGATTAGCCACAATTCAAACGCATTGTTCAGAGACTCGTTTCGATCTTAGTTTCTTTGCTATGAACGCCGTAGATTGCGTCCCTCTAAATAACTATAATAGCAAGTCGAGAAGAAGAAGTCGGAAGAAATCAGCAATAGCAGCAACAAATATGTCGAGTAGAGTATATGTAATCACTTAACAAAATAGCCTTTGCAGCGAGAGAATTTTAAACGATATCTTTTCATTTAGCGAAACAAATTTAGCACTTTCCCAAGACAATTTTAAAAAGCATCAGCCTCACAACTTAGATAAACCTAAGTCGAATCGTTTTAAAAGTTCACAAAAGTATAAGGAAATCTGTCTCATAGCGTTTTTAACTTGAAATTGAAACAATAATTGAGCATATATAGCAAAACCTATATGAAAATTACAAAATATAAAATATATTTATCTATAACTATATAGAGAGAGCAGTCTAAGCCCGTACAGATTGATTTTAAATCTTAAGCAGCATGTAGCACCCCTTTTATACATTTGAAAAAAGCGCAAAAACCAAATTCAAATTCAATTCGAGTCGAAACATTTTACAATATTTATATGGGCAGCGGAAAATTGCAAATGAAAAACAAATTTTAGAGAAGCGATTTCTTGTTTTGTATATAGCCAATGGAAAGCTGGCAAGCGCTGAAGCAAAACATATGGGGAACCCAGACATATATACACGAGATCAAGCTCAGATGAATTGAAAAAAACTGTTTAATATTCTAAGAACACCAAGAAACACAATTCAAATTGAAAAGCAAAGCTTAGTGAGGAAACATTGACTGACAAAAATAAAGAAAAACAAAACAAACAAATTATTAATTAGATTGAATGAGTTGATATGAGATCGATAAGCAAATACAAAAATTAGAGCGCAGCCAGCATTATTATATAATGCGACTGGCGACGGCAACTGGCAAGACTTTCTGCATAAAATTGAAAACAAACAAAACAAACTATTTTTTAACAACGTAAGTCTTAGGCAACTTCAAATCAATTATCTGTCAGAAGTAAAAAAAAATATGTAGAGCTAAGTAATTGCACACATACAAAAGTACACTTAAAACTCACTGATACTGATAATACTGATAGGCAGATAAAAATCGCAAATCAACAAGAAATTTGACTAACGTCTGCAAAATCGAAGCAACGAATTAGGAAGAAATCATACAGACGCGGAGACAACACATCACAAACAGTAAAAGTAATGAACCTAATAATAAAATTGATTATAAATTTTAATACCAATAACGCATACTTAATATAAACACTTGTAACGAGTACGATCAAACAATCGATTCGTGCTTAATGTTGGAAATTACGAAGAGAACTAAAACTATGAAAACAATTAGCCAACGCTCAAGTGCGTATTAGCAGCAAACCTAAACCACTCACAGCTAAAATTCTATTTAAATCCACTTATCTAATATCGAATTCAGATTAAAGTCTTTTCCCCACTTTCCTTTACTCATCTATTACTGCTACGCACACAGATAATACGGAAGAGAACACAGCCCTAGACTAAAATAATAAATATATCAAGCTGACTTGCAAAAAACTTAACTAACTCCATGCCTATACAAAAAATAAAACGCCACACACGTGTCAAAATACGTTTATATAGGGAAAATTAATAAAACAAAACTTGCCCGTTTATTTCAATTTTGCAAATTTAAACAAAAAAAAAACGTTTTAGTTGAACAAAATTTCTGTCGTTTACGTTTCCGCTATTGCTAGATCTCAAGTAATGCAAAAAGTTAATTAATATATATAAATGTATAAAACAAAAATATATAAATTAGTTTTAAACTAACGAATGAATACTTCCAATTTTGAACTCAAGTATAAAGCAAAATACAAACTGTTGGCAGTTGATGAAGGACGCGTGTGTTTTAAAACGTATCTATGAACATTGTTCAGCATAAGCCTAAAACAATAACTTTTTTTAAATTTAAAAATACACATACACAGACAGACACACCAAGCAGTTGCCTAACGTAAAAAACAAAAAGAAATAATGAGAACATGAATTAAAACTTGCGCAAAATTTGCAAACCAGCAAAGAACTTTAAATACATAATATTAGCCACAAACAATAAGAGAATATATACAACAAATTCTAAATGACCATAGTTAAGCTTAAATTTAGTAACACTCACATACATACACACTCACACACATATACACATAATTATTAAAGTAAAGTAAACTGTCGTTGTAGGGGATGAGAAGTGTGCGCCATTTTCTAACTACAATAACAACAGAAAAATTACATTTACCACTTTTTATTTTTGATAAGTTTTCTATGAATTTTCTTAAATATTTTACTTTTTTATTGAGAGAGCATTTCATGCAATTGCAATTGATTGTTGCCTTCGAAAAAAGAAAGGGAGAAATAATTTTAAAACTCTTTAATCATTTTTTTTTCTTTAAACACACACAAACACAACAAATAAATTAATTTTGTAAGGAAGTGAATTATAAAAAAATTTTATAACGCCGCGTCTTTTTGCATGCAAAATTTTCGATTTTTCGTCCTTGAAATTTCCACATTTGGTGACTTAAAACCTTTGAACCCAATTCAAATTGCAAATATATAAATATAATTAATTTTAACAATTTGTTTAATTCGATAACTGTACTGATTTTATATTGTTTTAAATTTGTAATTTAATTTGTAAGTTTTTATTGTTAATGTGTTTTTTCTATTGTAAACTAAAACTAAACTAAATCTATAAAGCAATTGGCAAATTGTTACACAATCCGTTAAAGTTGACCGATTTCGTCGATTCAAAAATTGAGAATGAAATTTTTACCAAAATTATGTGCCGTTATTTAGAACCTATTTCTTTGGAAGCCCAAAATTTTCCTGCAACCCCACCCAACCCTCAACCTTTTTTCCCCCAACACCCCTAATTGTGTTAAATATTGTAATTTGTAATTTTTGTTTTAATTTTTCGGGAAAGCAAAAACGTTTGGCAAAATTAGTTTTTAATTTGAATATTTAGTTTTGTTTGTGCGCTTAAGTTTTCAATAGTATGTTATATATTATAAACTATGAATAATAATTCTTAGCAAAATATTTTTACGACCTAACATAAATCACTAATGTTAAATACTTAAAGAACTAATTTGTTTAGCTGTTTAATTGGTTTAAAATTTTTGTGTATTGTGAAGAGGAGCGCAAGCAAAATTTATCTTTGATCTAATAACAATAACAATAACTGTATACGTGTGTAAATTTCAACCTTCAACAAAAGCAACACAATACTGAAAATAAAATAGAAATAAAGTCGAAAGGAATCATGAAAGAAAGCAAAGTGGACAACAAAATTGCAAACTGCGCATGGAAACTGAGCGAAAAAAATGAAAAACTTTACATGAATTGTGATGATGCAAAGGCAAGATTTAATCATAATTACTAAATCTATATATACAATAAATATATATCTTTCTCTATAAATATATATATTTGAGTATATAATGTATATGTAGGCGTAGGAGTGTATAATCTAACTTTACTTTTAAACAGACTGCGTACGTATTAAAAATTTTTAAAATTAATTTGTGTAAAATGTTTTAAGTTTTGAAAAATTGGCAAATAAAGAAAACAATAAAAATTAATAAATCAAAAAACACGATCGTATTGTAAATTGAAATATACAACTTATTTCGACCTATTCCAAATTGTCTTTTCAAACCTTTTCAGCAAACAAAATCTTTTCATGTATATTTCAAGAATCGGCTTAAATCAAGCGCAACTGTTTATAAAGAAAGATGAAGGACAGTGGCAGTGGATGCAAGATGCAAGGATCTGAGACCTTTGGAAAGATTCCAAGATTGTTTCTTTTTTTTTTAATACACAACAAAAACATGATTTGTATAAGGACAATATCTGTTTCAAACATACACACACGTTAGGATTAACTTCGCTTAGACCACTTTTGTTTTACTTTTAAATTTATAGTTTGTGTGTGTTTTCTTTGCTTTTTTTAATAACATATGTAACCATTTTATACTTGATTGATTTAAAAAAAATCCTTTATAAACTACCTATTGATATACATCACAAAACATTTGCATACATACCACACGTATGAAAGGGATTCATAAACCGTGAACGTAACGTCGCCAATTATTACAAAATAAAAAAGAACAAATGAAAATTAATAATAAAAACAATCAGAATTCGTCGTAGAAGAAGGCCGAATGTGAGAAAAATGGGAGAAAAACTTTTACGTCTTAATAAACAATTATTGTTAACGAAGAAAATAAAAGTGAGAAAAGAAGCATATTGTACTAAAATATTTGATATACATACATTTGTTATTATTTGTAATACGAAAATTAAATAAAATTGCATCCAGATAATAAAAATGAAATGAATAAAGAATGCAAAGTTTGTCTTCTGTTCCATCGTAAGAATTTAACCCAAAAGAAAAAAAATTGGACTGTGGTCCAAATAGCAAAGGATTTATTTTTGATTATGAAGGAGTGTTACAAGGTGTTTAAAAGCATTTGCTGCGGGATGAGGACTTGCTCCTCCGGCTTCCATCGCTCGGCCTTGTGCTGACGCTACCGGTGGTGACGCCCATATCTTCTCCCAGCACTGTTTCGTCCACGCTGGTATCATCCGCAGGTATTTCCTCGTCACTGTTTTCTTCGCCGCCGAACGAAGCGACTGGTGTGATAATAGAGTCTCCGTGAAGATCCCTGTTTATCATGTTTCCCATATGGAAAGCAGAGTGACAGTTGTTGGCAGCCAAAAGGGCTTTCACTCTGAAAACCAGCGTCTCAATTGTCTCTCGAAGACTGGGGATGTAGCTGATGATGGCTGTATTTTTAATCGACTTGGAATGGCAGCATAGTTGGTGCAGGAACCGAGTAACCTTCTGCAGTTCGTGCAAAAACTTAGTAAGCCTATCGGGATCATCCCGAACTATAGACTCCAACGCAGACATTCCGTGCTGAAGCAACAGTTTAAGGAATAGCAGTGAGTGCTTCAGAAACAGTCCGAAATTGCGAGGCTGTTCCACCAACTGCACAATAGTAAGCAAGCCATTTAACAAGCCAACTGCGGACTCCCAAAGTTTCAGCCTATCACCACGACTGTCCACACCGAGTTTTCCGCTTAAGGAGTGAATAAGCACCTCGCACAGGCCACGAAAGAGCAACGGGAAGTTTGCCCTGCAAATAAAATGCATTAATAATTCATAATATTAGCCTAACTTGCTTTGATTACTTTTTGAAGTTGGGAAAAGAGCTCAGCGCTTTGTCCTTTGTATTAAGAATTGTGCACTGTTTAACCAGCTCATCAAGAAGTTCACGTTGACTTTCGCAAGATGATTTTTTAAGAAAGCCCTTAACCAGCTCGTCCAGATAAAAATTACACTGTCCGCCTTTATCCAAAGTACCAGAGTAGTGGAACCACTTACGTCGCAACAGTTTGCCACATAGCAATCCTGGGTGATGAATAAACTTTGAGATCAGATTTCAAATTTTATTGTTAATGCTCACGTGAGTCTTCGGCTTGTCGAAATCTCGGTTGGCTAGAATCGATTTGGAGGCTTCCCACCTTAAGCAAGCTGAGCAGCAATCGGTGCAGCTGGACAGCCGTACTAAGGTTTAAAACTGATTTCTCATACTGTAAGAAGTATTCAAAAGTATGGGAAGCCAACTGGGGAACAGTTCGTTTCTCGAGCCTTTTCCACTCAGCCTTGGGATGAAGTTTGAAAAGAGATTCTGCAGGGTAAAAGATATTAAAAAATTGGGATTTTGAGGAAATAATATTATCATACTATGAAGGAGTTCCGCCTGCGACTTGTCGCTCCACTCGCTCCAGGCGAAGTACAAGGCAAACAGGCGAATGCAAAGTCCGAAACACGTCTTAATGTAGTTGAACTGCTCCTTAAACAAATCCAGATTGCTGTACACATGGTTGACTTTTGTAAGCTCTTTATCGATGGCTTCGGCCAGAGTTTTTAGGTGATTATTAACCTCAAGTAGACAGGGAAGTAAATCGCTCATGAAGTCCTCTGGCTTGGCAAGATGCGGCCTGAAACTGTCCGTGTCAGATGAATCCTGTTGCCCAAGAACTGCAGCTTCCAGTTTTTGCACTGTATCCTCCAGCAGAAAACGTAGCTCTAAAAGACCCAAAAATTCTCCCACTTGCTCTTTCTCGAGCTGGTGGTTTAAAACGAACTTCTGCTCGACCAACAGCATAATTATTTCCACTTCCATAGGCCTGTATTTCTCTCGAGGCCCATACATCTGCTCAAAGTCTATCTTTGTTTTAATGGTCTTGCAAGATCCAACCTTGACAGTGAAGTCCGCGATGGAAGTTTGATTACTAGTTAAGTCCGGCTCCTCTGTAGTTGCATTCAATTTGGCAACGGCCTTTGGAGCTTGACGTTTCTGGGTCACTACCGAGTGCTTAGCGTTGGTAAGAAACTGGCAGGGTGGGGCTACAAAATCTGAAGGCGCTCTAGCCAGGAGCGGCTTAATTCTCTGCTCGATGCGAATTAATTCTCCAAGTCTGGAAAGAACGCGGCGTCGAGTGGCAGGATGCTGCTGCGATGCGAAGGCACTGATCGAAACCCGCATCCAATTAACAGTGTGAAAATAAATACTTAAAATATCTTTCTGCTGCTCCGACTGAAAGTTGTCGAAAATAGAAAGAAAGTTTTCGTCTTCAAAGAACGAGGGCAATACTATGGCACATCCAAGCAGAGCATTTATATTCTCTAAACTGTCATGATGGCGATGTTTATACAGAACTCTGACATAGTTGAACAAAGGTGCAAGTACAAATATTGAATCGCAAGCTCTATTGATAAAAATAGATGTACAGATTAACTAATAAAAGTATCACAGTGTTTCATAACAAAACTTACTTAGCTTTGGGTGCCAGAACCAGTTTTGATATATTTATGCCAATGCTGAGTACATCCGATTCAGTGTTAGCATTCGTGTCGTCCAATTCATTGATATTTAACTGATATTCCAGTTTAATTCCCCTAAAGTCAGGTTATATTAGTGGAGTTTATTGAGCATAGCCGCCACTTACTTTATTGTCTCCGGAATATCCTCGGTAACAAAACTAGCCTGAAAGCGAAAGGTCACTAAATCACAGGCCCAGGCAAGAAATTGATATTCCAAGTCACAAACGGTATTTCCATCGTAGCGCTGATTGAAAACAGTCGCCAATTCTTCATAGAACAGCGCCAGAGACTTCGCGCTATTACCAATGGAAGATTCGGTGCGTACTGTAAGGTAAATACATTAGTACATTGGTTAAAATAAAATGCCATACTATTAACTCATTAAATTGGCTGCCATTTTGACTCGCCCATCGGGTAAACAATCTACATTTTCCACGCCGGCAAGAGTATCGTCATGCTCCACTCCATCGTTTCCGATGCGTGCCATGGCATCGATGAGCTGCACACAACCAATGATGCCCTGCTTTTTTATGTTGTCAGTTGAATTTATTAGCTGCTTCTTCACCACCATGTCGACCTGTTCTTGGAGCTGAAGACAGACAGAAAGTTTGGGGTCTGGAAAGGCGACATGGGCAAGCAAGTCCATGGCCACGCGAGTCTGCATAAGAGTTAGATCACTGATTCTATCCAACATCGGAATAAGAAGCGTTGCACAGTTCTGAACATCCTTGGCGCTTTTTCGCTGCAGTTCACGCAGAAGTTCGAGGGCCATTGTCGTCAAGTGTGGCGATGATTTGTCACAGGTGAGCTCCAGCAGTTTCTTGAGAATATTTTTCTGAATTGAATTGAAAATCTTAAAAAGAATACTTCAAAGAAAAGATTAGAAGAAGATTAGAATTGTGCTTTATCATAGATCTTGAGGTATATTCACCTATACGAAGACTTGGCGAAATCAGACACCGTGCGGTTTTTCTCACGCATAAAGTCGTGCAGGATATTCATCAATGTGCTTATGTGTTGCTCCAGTATGTGTTTATAGTGAAGTTTTACCTCCTCCAAAATGCCCACTGTTATGTGCTCCAACTTAATACGACGACGAAGCTATCCAAAGAAACTCTGTTACGTATCCTTAATTATTTTAAGCAACTATGTACTTACAATATTTTCAATGTACAATGAATTGTCTTCGTTCACTTGAATTAATAGAAGCAAAACAATTAAATCAAATGAGCTAGAGAACATATTCAAAATTAGTATAATAGCTTATTTTTAATAGTTACAGCGAACTTACGTAAATCCATCTGCGGGCAAGGTAGCAGCGGACCTTTGCCATGTCTGGTAAAATCTTTTGGAGCGTATTAAACCAAGTTCTAAGAAGCCAAAAAGTTCTAACTGCGACTTTTTATTATCGGCTGTTGTAGTGTTTTTATCCCCACGAACTGTGTGACGCCAGTTGAAGATTTCCCGCAGGCTGCCTATTAACTGAAGTTAGAGATGGTGATGTGATTCATTAAGGTAAATATTAAAAGAGTCTTACATCGCGCACACTGTCATCTGTGTCCATTTTCAGAATGTTAAGCAGAAGCCTGATGAGGTGGGGCAAGATCTAAAAGAAAGTATTTATATTAAGAATCGTATACTACAATTTTTGTTAATACCGTATTGGGGCAGTTGCCACTTGTGGCAAACTCCAGAATGCGCAGGCGTAACCTTGCCTGCGTTTTATCTGAAAGCGATAAATTGCTTAAGGTGTGCACCGTGGTCATGTGAAAGAGGTCTTCAGTGCTAGAATAGTTGATACTGCAAGGAAAGAACATTACATAAGGCTACAACTACGTACTCGATGATTCATATTGTATCTTCTTTATAAAGCTATGACAATTAAGTTTTGAATGGTAGCTTTAAAAATTTCTCTCCTTTATGTCAGAACACGATCTTATACACTTTTTACTTACTTGAGCAACTCAACAAACTCATCGTGCATACTGGCATCCAATATCAACTCGGCATTGGCAATTATGTCCAACTTGGCTGAGTCCGTAGCCCTGTTAAAGATGCCCTCGATGCGCTTGTAGATCTCCACCTTGTGTGAAGCGGTCAAGTAACGCAGTTGGGTGAGCATCAATGGTAGCAGGGGCATTGATATGGCAGCCATGCCCGTTAAAACTCGATCGGAAGTGGCCACCTCCTCGATCTTGTTGAGCAGTACCTCTACGCAGGCATCCCGCATGAAGTCGATCATCAGGAAGTTCATGAACATGCTGTTCTGGGACTGGTAGATTTGCTCCTCGCCAGCAGCGTCCACAGTGCATCCGGTTAGCAATTTTTGCACCAACTTAGACTTGGGGGACATGGCAGAATTAAGTCCGGTTTTGAAGGTCTCCATTTTGTCGGTATATGAAGAAGCACTCATGAAAATGTCCCGCAGCTTGGACACAATGGAGACATGGTCGCAGGCCAGAACCAGGCTGTCGCCTTGATCTAATTGGACACCGGCTTTAATTAGGACCAGTTCGAAGAAGTTGTTTGGCTGCCGTGAGAGTGTCGCGATGTTCCTACTGGAAGATTGGGTGCGACCCAAGGTGGCGGCCAGAATCGCACTATGCTGCGACAGGAAGCGCTGGGTGTGTTCCTGCGAGGCGGGTATGTTTTCCTCGCTTCCGGTAGACGAGGAATCCACAGAAACAATCGTGGTGGACTCCGCCAGGCGCTGAAATGTACATTTTATTGTTATGTTTTAACTGGAAAGTCTGTAGCCTTCCACCTACGGGCAATTTAATGGTGGTGTTTTCATCGATCGTATTTAGCGCTTTCTGCGTACGTTTCTTTTTTCTATACATGATGCACAGTTAACTTTACAAGCCAAAATAAACAGAACAAAACGATGAAAACAAATAACAAAACAAATTTGTGGCGCGTTTCGGTGCGGGAGTATGACCGTTTTAGACTCTTTGGTGTAGTCGAAATAAACGATTATGGAATCGACAATCGATAGCGAGATAGTGGCAATCATTTTTGAAAATATAAGGCAACTGGGTAATACTTCGGAATTTTGACTCCAGCTATATTTAAGCCCCAAAAAAACCTGCGAACCAAATCAAGGGTTTTTTCATAAGATAATAACCCCCTTAAGAGAGGCAGAAGGTTTTTTACCTTGGAAAATGGAAATTTCCTCGGAAAATCAGCGGAAAACTCTTACATGCACGTCATGCATTTCCGCGCTAGGGGAGATTTAAGGACATATTTTGGGGGACGGTGGTCCAGCAGGTAGAGCGCTGGCCTCCGGTCCGGAAGGCCCGGGTTCAAGTCGACCCCCAGGCTCCCCGAGAAAAAGAAACGGTCTCTTTTTCCAAATCTCCACCACTTCTATGCTCTATCGCTCACTTAACATTAGTAACAAATTTCGGCTCCCCGGACCCGCACACCCCCTCGTCCACGTTACTATGGACCCAACAATAGAATTTTCGTCACTCCTAGATGGCGCCAGGTGGCATCCCCACCGCTAGGATAAGTCGCTACTGGCTTATCACCGGTACGATCGAAAATCATTGATAACGAATCCTCTACAAGAAATTGTAGAGGCTCTAAGCTCCCGGGTGGAGTAAAAGAATGTAAATTTTTTTTTTTGGGTAATTGGCCCAAAATAAACACTTTTAATAAATAAAATTTTTCGATTTCTCGCACCGTTTACGAGATATCAAGCCTTAAATTTCCAATAATAGTGAGGGCTGGTAGCGGAAGAAAATACTTATTGCACATATTTTTCGTGTTTTCCGCTGATTTTCCGAGGAAATTTCCATTTTCCAAGGTAAAAAACCTTCTGCCCCTCCTAAGGGGGTTATTATCTTACGAAAAAACCCTTGATTTGGTTCCCAAGTTTTTTTGGGGCTGAGATATAGCTGGAGTCAAAATTCCGAAGTATTACCGGCAACTGAATATAGTCAAACGATCCGAAAATTGTCAAGCTTTTAATGCGTTAACACTATATATTATCCAGGACATAGTTGTTTATACAAAATATGGGTACCGGTTTACAAAACTCAATATACACATATTATTATTTTTTAAACATTTGTAAAGCCCATAAAATAATTTTTTTTGAAATTCAAATTTTTATTCAAACATACTCTACATAATGCGTACAAAACTATTATTGATTCTATGTATATATATAACTTTTAATCATATGTGATGAGTATAAAATGTTCAACTATGCGTTTGCTTAATCTTAGGGAGCCGGAAGCATGTTCCATAAATTGATAATCGTATACATATGTAATGGAAAAATCCAACGTAACCACTAAATTAGAGGATTATAAACTTATTTGTAAATTTAAAGCCTTTCGATTTGAATTGTTTAACCCGGGTGCTAACTCTGATAATTTTGAATAATTCCTAATATCGATTCTCAACTCTTAAAAGTGCAAAAACTCTATCGTGCTATACATTTTTAAATGTATATAAATATGATTTATAAAAAGGAAGTTCAACATATGTCTTGAAGTGATTATGCCAGAAATTGACTTATTCCGGGACTATCGCGTCCTTTTCGTACCTAGTTCATAGAAAATCACTAATTTGGCGTTGTTTTCAGTATTGCTATTAAGTATATAATGATGAACTTGATGCCATTCCTATCACACCAATGCAGTCCAAAGCGGAAAATTTGCCATCCCTCCACAATACTGTGCTGTCGGAAGCTGTTTTAGCTTCCTGCCTCTACTTAGATTTCTTTTCACATTTCTCAAATATTTAATTATTGTTTTTTCGCACGTCGTCTCTTGAAACCAGTCATCTGCTTCAGGAGCTGCGAGTTTTCGTCATCGAGATCCATATTTGGCTCCCAGAGCCGCAGTCGCTTGGGAATATATATAAGGCCCAGGAGAGTTATAGCTGGATTAAATTCAAATATAAAAGTCATAAGTTAGATTCATTTGCATTAACTGGGCTTAGTTTTGATAGTGGTAATGATGTTATCAAAAGATTCCGATTGAAGTAACCAAAATTTAAAGGTGTAAAATCCTCTTTAAATAACAGTTTTACATTTTACATAAAAGTGTTGAAATTCTCGATAAAAATTATATTAGTTTCACTTACAATTTAGCACGCAAGGGAAGATCACGTAAAAGTTAATGGTGCTGGAGCGGAAATAGAGCGCCTCTGTGGCATAGAAGACCATGGTAAGAGCTAAGGAGCAGCCGCCCATGCTCACGACCCTGAAATTAACAATTACTACGGCTATTACCACATTATCGGAAAGTTTTGGGAGTACTTACGGCCTGTAGTGGATGTAGAGGGTGCAGTGGACAAGGGCGATGGCCTTGAGCAGACAGTACATTCCGATAATGCGCGAAATGGTGTAGTCACCTGTAAAAATAACCATGACATATTGTTCTCTCCAAGGGGTTTGAATGAAGTACTTACCCTCTATAAACTGGGTATCACTGTGGTCCCCCAGGAAGCTCCTTCTCTCTATGTAGCTACGGAAAGCCGTGCCCAAGTCCATGAAGGCCACGAATGCTATCCATCCACGGAAAGCGTAAAGCAGCCGTTCACGGGGTCTTCCGCCAGACTGCATCGCAGCCCTAGAAATCAGATAAATATAACACTGAACACTTTTAGCACACAGAAGATCCATATTTAATATTTATAAAACATTCTAAATATGTATAAAACTGATTACAATCGTTTATAAAGCTTAACCTGCGCTGTTATAAAGTTTATTAAATAAAGTTTTAATGCCCCACAAAAATCAACCAAAATTAATTTTGTACAAATGATAATAACACTTTTTTAGTATATAGATGAAACTGTTTCAATACCAAGGTTTTTTCTTGTTCCACAAAAAAAATTGAGTCCTTTGTTTAAGATCTACTTATTTTCTTGACTTTAATTGTTTAATACAAGTGATTACTACAAGTGTTTTGCACACCAGAAAAACTATAACGGCACTAATGGAATCCCTTCACGATTCGCCATAACAAAAGTGATGATATAATGTTAGAAATAAAGTATTTTATGTGTCCCAGAACCATTAGAATCAACTACTCATTATTGCGTGTGCATAATTAGACACTCCGTTTGAGGGGTTTCAGCAAAAGCAGGAACTCCAACTGAGCAACCGAGTAATGGCATGCCCGACCGGCTTATCGCCCCTGAGAATCTCCCTCGGAAATACCCGTACAGCCAGCCCCATCCCCCACAACTCCGGGCAAAATCGATATTATGGCACACTATGCTGTGCTATTTGTGCAATGCAAATGTTTGTGCAGAGCGTAATTCGCGTCTGCACGCGACCACGTGGATTTGGGACCCTAATGGAGCTCCCCATCCGACCGGATTGTTTATTTTCAATCAACATTGCCGGCTAGGTCGTCCAAGCAACGCGTTTTATAGACCCGGGACCGGCAAGCAGCTATCCATAATTATTCCCGTGCAAACTATATGTGTGTATTTATTTTCGTAGGCATTGGCTTACATTTTGCAGCGATTCGCCCGAGTTACTCAGCAAACCCGAATTCCGTAACACCCGGCGTATGCGTAATACTCGAATGTGGCACTATTTAATCCGACGAAATTATGTTGTGCTGCAGCGATTGTTTATTTTATTTGGCCTTTTCACCTGTCAACGCGACCAATTTTCGTTCCGTCGCCTGCAATGCCTCGCCGTCCACTGAAAAGTCTTCAATGGGAAAGTTTATTATTCAGCCAGGCAGCTTTTATGCTTTTCAGAGCTTTAGGTCTACCGGGATTCGTACGGCACAGGAGATACCTGGAGAATTTGGTATAGAAATAACTAGCCCTTATAATCCCCATCATTTCTTAGCAAAAAGAGATTTAAAATAAAATCAATTTTATTTTTAATATTTTGTTTAATGGACTGAGGAGTAATTCTTTTAATCAGACATTTTTATTGAAGTATTTATTTATGTATTTATTTATAAAGTCTTATTTGAGTGAAGAAAACTAATCAAAGCTCCCGATTCTAATATATATATATTTTTTCTTAGCAAGTTAAATAAAAATTGTATAAATAAAACGACCGTTTACGTTTGATAACCTTTAACCCCTTCTTGGATCGACCCATAAACACATATGTATGTTAGAAACGGTTGCAATTTTTAGTTTAATTTTATTTAGCAAAAGTACAAAAATTTTAAACAATTCCGAAACATAACCTTCATTGGCTTTGTGTGCAAGGAATCACGCCATGTGACGCATTAGTCAGAATCTAGCAGAAGTATATAAAGATCAACAATTTGTCAAGTTCTATGGCTCTCTTGGGATGAAAGTTGGTCTAGTCTTTGCCAATATTCGCCTCAGTCTTGCGGTACTCGGCCCAGTCCACAAATCCATCGTCGTTGAGATCCATGGATTTAAGTACGTAGTCGATGGTTTCCTCCAGGGCTTTGTCCGTGTAAACCGATCCGGACTTGTGCTCCTCCGGCACCTCAGTCTTCCCCTCGACGTAACCCTCAGTGTGTCCCTCGGCTGGTTTCTCGCTACTATCTTTGACTGGAAGGGGAATGGGGCATTACAGACTTTTGGGATGGCTTGGGCGTGGTTAAGTTATTAGCTAAGCTCTGCCAAAACCGCTAACTAATTTGTAGGTATACAATTCTACTTGATAGAGGGATTAGATGTGGTCGACTGTGATTTGGGTTTGACTTTATTCGCTAAATCGGCTTTACTTACAAAGAGTTGCATGCGTCTATATAATAGGTTTCGGTTTCAAAAAGATTTCCTCTTCGTTTACGCGTAGTTTTCTTTTTTTTTTTTGTACAAAACAAACTTTTACACAATCAGTCTGTTTTTATGCTGCTCTAAAGTTGCGCTTAAAAAATAGTTCATATCGAAAAGTAACTAAATTAATGAAAATGAAAACAAAACGAAACAAAGCGGCTGGAATTGCACAAACCACTTGAAGGAGATTCGTGGTAAATATTCGAAAGTTGGAATCTTTTGATAAAGTTCTCAGAAGGACAATAAGTTACAATTTGTTCAATATAGTTCTCCGATTGGAATGCTTGCAGCATATTAAGTAAATTTGATTCGAATTTATCTAAAAAAGTGCGCTAAAACCGAAGACGAGGTCGACGTAATTTCAGGGTGTTTTTGGGGCAGAAACAGGAGTATGTGTTGCACGTCACAGAACACGGGACGAGGACATGGTAATTTATGCAAACTGAACGGATCTGGGTGACTACTAATGAACCGGCTGCTGCTGTTGCTGCTGCTCCTGCGGCTGCTGCTGCTGTTGTTGTTGCTGCTGCTGCTGCTTCTCAGCAGCCTTCTGCTGCGCCTTGATGAACTCCGGATAGTCTATGTAGCCGTCGCGCGACGTGTCGTCCATCTGCAGGATGGGATCGATGAGGGCCACCAGCTCCTCGTCGGAGAAGACCTTCTCCTCCACGTGCGGCTTCTCGCCGTTCGGCTGCTCCTTGCTGCCTTGCTCTGCGTTGGCAATGAGTTGTTATGGCGGATGCGAGATGGATTAGCATGAGTTTCGAGCATGACCACAACCCCAACCGGAAACAGCCCATTTTAATTACGCATATGCAAAGAAGGTAGAACAGAATAGTAGGTCAAACATAACGAAGAACACAAACCACGAGTGCAAATCTAACCATCGAGCCAGATAAAGAAGTAGAGGTGTTGTCTTACCGTGCCAGTGGATCAGCGACTTGATCAGCTCGCAGCCATCCAGTTTGTTGTTGTTATCCGAGTCGTGCATCTTGAAGTAGTGGAACTGCAACTCAGCCTCGGACATCTTGCTCGTGTCAATGGGCACTTGCATGTGCTCCTGAATGTGACTGGAAAATAAAGACAAGAAGTTAATCTACTGCGATGTATTCAGATAAGAAACCTTTTTAGTAAGGGTTAAAGAAGTGAAAGTTGATTTAGGCATAAATATTAAAAAAATAATCCTAGTGTTTTAAATAATCAAACATAATAATTAACACATTTTCCGAAAAATTTAATATTTTAATAATCCTACTGTGGAACTACGTCAAAATAAATGGCGGATTTTTTGAAAATCTAAACATAGTAATACTTCCTATCACTTTGAGTGTATGCGGTGACACAATGATTAATTTATTGTCATGTTTGCCAATAACAGGCAGACGACTACTGTTTATTAAAGCGGGCTCCAGCGCAGGGGTACACACCTAAGTCCCCCATCACTTTTTTTAGAGGCGCTGTCGTTTATTGTTAATTTACGACAATCCACAATCTAGCGTAAAGCTCCCTTGATGGATAATGATTGCCAGAGGCAGTGATAAGATAGACGGGAACTTACGCTCGCTCCTGCTGGATGTTTCCGGTGTTTAAGACCTGCTGCGGTTGCCCGTGGTGGTGACCACCAGCTTGCTGCTGGTGCTGCACCGGCTGCTGCTGCTGGTATTGCACCTGTTGCTGCGGCGGTTGCTGGTGAATAGGTGGCTGCTGCTGCTGTTGCACAGGAACTTGCTGATACTGCACATTCTGCTGTTGCTGTGGCACGGGGACCTGCGGCTGCTCATATTGCTAGGGGCACAAGAAGGGGGGATTAGTGGACTGTGGGCTTGATCGAGGTTTTCACTCACATATTGCTGGGGCGGAACACCGGGCGCAGAGTGGACCTGTTGCTGGTACTGCGGTTGGTGGTGCTGCGGCGGAGGTGGTGGGTGGTGCTGCGGCACCTGCTGGGGAACCTGCTGCTGTTGATATCAGAGGGTTAATTGCGTCTGACTGGGTGGAGGCACTCCCATACTCACGTAGTGCTGTGGATTAACGCCGGGCGCAACTCGCTGGCCGCTCGAGAGACCAATTAGGATGAGAGACAGCAGCAGCGGCAGCCGAACTGCCGGCAATTCCGGGACGCGCATATGCATGGAAGTGCTGGATTCTGGCGGGATCGGATCGGATAAGTAAGGCCCGTTTTCTGTGGCTCGGTAATCACCACGTCGCTAAGTCAAAACACACACGTACACAAATCGCTGCTTCTTCGACTGCTGCCATTCGCTGCGGGCGACAGCTGTTGCTCAGGTACGACGGCCATTCTCCCCGAAACGGCGACAGAAAAGGGGCACACTGATAAATGAGGCATGGTCACCTTATTTCTGTTAGACAGTACATAACATTTCTGTTAAACACATGCTATCCGAAGACACAAACCATTTCTTAGCTGGTAGAGGAACATGTTTTTGGTGGCAAAAAAAGGGGAAAATAAATAAAACATTTTGAAACACTGTTTGGTGCTGAAGTGGCAACCCTGAACCCACCCTCCCTCTCTTTCGTTTAAAAACCAGCAAATTGACTGGTTCAGCGCTGCTCAAAAAATAAAGATTTGAATACCTCGACCAGGGAAATTGCTAATAATGGTGAGTGTGCGGTCTGCCCGGAGGTATTATCTGCTGCAGATAGATGGCGAGTGTAGAAATTGCATTCTTGCAACTATAACACGGTGCACGTGGAATTACCTCTCGACATAACCCCACTTGACCCATGTTTCATTTTGTTTCGTTTCCGTAGGCTGCTGCACCCAAGGATATTGAGAAGCCCCATGGCGGCGATTCTGCCTCTGTGCACCGCATCCGCATCACCCTGACCTCCAGGAATGTGCGATCGCTGGAGAACGTGTGCCGCGACCTGATCAACGGTGCCAAGAACCAGAACCTGCGCGTCAAGGTGAGTCCGCGTATCCTTAAGGATCTTCCGGCAGTCGCATTTACCTGGAGGCTTTGCGTGCCCACCAGACGCTTAGCCTAGTCATCAAAAAATGCCAGAGAAAGTGCCTGAATCGGACATTATTTTCGCGCTGCTTACTTCAGTGCGAAAATATCACATGGTTCAAGCTACAATACCTCTTTATACTGGAAATTGGTTCTAACTTTTAAACTTTCCATCCTTTCAGGGCCCCGTGCGCATGCCGACCAAGACCCTGCGCATCACCACCCGTAAGACTCCTTGTGGTGAGGGTTCCAAGACCTGGGATCGCTTCCAGGTGAGTCTAACTACCAATATGGTTTTCCTATAAGACATCAATGGACAGATCTGATATCGTGGTTGGGCAATCCACACACCCTTCTACAGTATCTATGATTTGCCCAGAAAAAACGTGTTCTCATAGTCCTCTTTGTGGGAAATCACCGCAATTTGGCTCTAAGAATCCGACAAAATAATAAAAAATGTTTGTCCCTTATCCCTGGTTAATAAGGATTTATAATTATTTAAATTACCTTAAATTCAAATCCATTTGTTATATTGTCATTCTTATGGACAGATCTGATATCGTGGTTGGCAATCTACCGGTCCTTCCGCAGTATCTATGATTTGCCCAGACAAAACGTGTTCTCATAGTCCTCTTTGTTGGAAATCACAGCAATTTGGCTCTTCGAATTCGACAACTAGTTAAATTATTTCACCGAACCTCTTACTACAAAAGTTTTTCAGAATGTTAATATTATTTCAATCTCCGGTTTCCAACTAATTTGTTTGAATTGTTTTTTGCAGATGAGGATCCACAAGCGCATCATCGACTTGCACTCTCCCTCTGAGATCGTCAAGAAGATCACCTCTATCAACATCGAGCCCGGCGTAGAGGTTGAGGTCACCATCGCCAACTAAGATCGGCAGATGCCCTTTTTTTACACCACGAAAAGTCTGGCGTACAAATAAAAGCCAAAAACTTTTCCAAAACTTGTGTAGCCAACTTTATTGTGCAAATTTCGGGGTACTACCAGGGGCGGATTAAGACAATTTGCCGCCCTAGGCAGTTTTGATTTTGCCGCCCTAGACTGCAGCCTAATTTTCAAAAGTAGTATTTTATGTAGTGTTAACAGTCGAAATTTGCCGCCCTAGGCAGCTGCCTATGTTGCCTATATGGTAAATCCGCCACTGGGTACTACTTTAATGAAATGGTTTTGTAATTGAAGTTTCATGTTTGTATAGTCTAATAGTAATCTGGGACTGGGGCGCAGGCAATCTTGACAAAGTCTGCATACCGTACAGTGCTATTGTTGTTTACATTGGCTTCCCGGAAAATGTTGTCGACCTCACGCACGGACAGACCCTCGCCCCAATTCTGGAGAAGATTGCGCAGCTGCCTGGCAGAGATCGTGCCCTTGTTCTGGGGATCAGCTGCCTTAAAGGCGGCAATGACCTCGTCCGGCAAGCTCTCCACCTTCGAGTGCTGGTGCATTATGTCCAAAAAATCGGCAAAGCTCATTTTTCCATTCTTCTGCTTCAGGTAGGAAACCAGTTCTTGGATCGTCGGTGAAAGACCCAAAGAACGCATAATAACCTGATGACATGACAAAACTCCACCATTAGAATGAGTATATTTCAGGGTTAAGAGTCCCACTTACAGTTAGTTCGTCCAAATTGTTGATTTGGCCCGAACGGGCAAACAGATAAAAGCACTCGCGGAACTCTGGGGGTTAAAGATAAGGAATGTTTTCATAATGAAATCATCAATGAGCCGGAGGTAAAATTACCATCAATATCCTGTTCTTTGAAGTAACGGGCCTAAAATGCGTGTCGGAAAAATTATATAGAAAGTTGCATAAATACAAATGGTTAACGAGGGCACTCGAGTGGAAAGTGCAGTTATGAAAAAAGAAAGCAATTTCTATTAAAAAGCATTGCCTTTAATTTTAACTTACCATTTTTAGGGATTTTTTATTACACTTCCACTAAAACAAAAATAAATAAACGGTGAATAAACAAGAAAACGCAAATAAATAAATTAAACGAAATCAAACAGGTAGCAGTGAGTGTGACCAAAAACAGTATGACCAGTTGGCAGTTTGACTAAAAAAGTTTGTTTACCATAAGTCAGCCCGGTAAATTAAAATGAATAAGAACCAGGCTAAATAAAATTAATAGAACGAATTATAAAATCTTTGTTAGAGTTCATACAAGTTCGATTTTCAAAAAATTTCTGTCTTGAAATCATAGAAAATTAAAAGAAAAATTATAAAGACTTTGTTGTTGTTTAACATTCGACGACAATAGATATTAATAATGGTTTCTATAAAGATCGGACAACCATAGTTAATAGAAAATTAGTCGAAACTATAAAAGTTTTATTTAGTACCCTTTATGACAATAAAAAAATATTGTTACTATATAATATATTTGTGATGATATTATACATGTAAGTTTCAACTCCAAGGGTATATAAGCTTCAGCTCGCCAAATAAAAATAAATAAAATGATTTAACAGTTTTGTTTTATTTCTATTTATTAGTATCTTGTCGTTCCAGTTTCGTTTCGAATTTATTGTAAAAAATTATATTCTTTGAATACGACCAAAGTTGTTAGTTTAATTGCCAAATTGTATTAACAAATTGTATAATTAATAATTTTAATAGGTTTTAAGTAATTTTATCTATTACTTTTTAACTCTAAAATTAAAAGAGAATATCATGCCCTCAATGCCTTGAAATAAAATTCTGCATACAATGATTATCCTTAGTTTGTGGCTCCCAGATAACAATTTATAGCATTTATCAATAATTAAATTTATTGTTATGCACCCAAATAAAACCAAATTTTCCGTTAGACTTTAAAATGTATTTACCTTGCGACACAATTACACAAGTCAGAGCACACTGTTGTATTTAAATATTAAAACAACATCGTTAAGTTATTGTACAATAAAAAATATCTGCTTCCCTTTGCATACAAAAAATCTGAAACTGCACCTGATGATCTTAAAAACTAAGTACGTCCTCATCAAATAAGAAGTTGTGGTATATTATATGCGCGCGAGCCCCGGACGGCATCGCTTCAAATGATTTTGTGAACGTCAAAACTAGAAAATATAACTTAAAGAAGCAATAAGCTAATATTTGTGTCCAAATGTTGTAGATAGTCGAAATATTAGTTGTATTTGTGGGTTAGGTTAGGTCTGTAGTTGTGGTTGGTTAGTTTAAGCGCCGTCTCTGGCTTATGGGCTCTCTAAAGCGTCTCGTAATTCCGTCTCATATACACACGCGCGTAGGCATAAGTACGTCGGCACACTTGCTGGTTGGTTAATGCACGTTGATGATGGACTCGCGGCCTTTTCCAACGCCCACCCAGCGCACGGGAACGCTGAGCTCGCTCTCCAGGAAGCGGACGTAGCTCTGGGCGTTCTCCGGCAGCTCCTTAAAGTTGCGTATGTGCTCGGTGGAGGTCTGCCAGCCGGGCAGCACGGCGTACTCCACCTCAATGGAGCCCAGCTCGGCAATCGTGCCCGGGAAGTGGTCGAGCTTCTCGCCATTGGCCTTCTTGTAGCCCACGGCCACCTTGATCTCCGGCAGCGTGTCGAGGATGTCCAGCTTGGTGAGACAGATGCAAGTGTAGCCGTTGACCAGCGAGGTATACTTCAGCAGCGGGATGTCGAGCCATCCGCAGCGGCGCTTCCGCTTGGTGGTCACTCCAATCTCAAAGCCGCGCGTTTGCAGCAGGTCGCCAATTTCCTGAAATTACAGAAAAAATAAGTAAAGTATTTAAAGGGAATATATTCAAGAACCACTCACATTTAGCTGCTCGGTGGGGAAAGGACCGTCACCCACTCGCGTCGTGTAGGCCTTGACCACGCCAATCACCTCGCCAATCGTCTGCGGTGGCAGACCCAGACCCGTGAGAACGCCGCCAATGCTGCAGTTGCTGCTCGTCACGTACGGATACGTGCCGAAGTCGATGTCCAGCATGGCCGCGTTGGCGCCCTCGACCAGAATCGTCTTGCCGTTGCGCAGGGCGGTGTGCAGGAAGCAAATCGTGTCCTTGACATAGGGACGCACCTTGTTCGCGTAGTCCTTGTAGCGGGCCAGCTCTGCCTCCACGTCCACGTTAATCGATGGGAACAAGCGCACGTGCGTAGCCACAATCGACTTGAACCTAATCAAAAAGGGGTACGGTTAGAATCTGAATTCTCCGGCTGCCCAGGGCACAAATCCTCTCTTACTTGTCGCTAAACAGGTTGAAGTCGCCGAGCAGCTCCCCCACGCGGATGCCATTGCGGGTGGCCTTGCTGGAGTAGGCCGGGCCAATGCCCTTCTTGGTGGTGCCGAGCGACTTGCCGCCCTTCTCGGCTTCCTGCATGCCGTCCACATGCTGGTGGAAATCAAACACCAGATGGGCACGGTCCGAGATGATCAGCCGGTTCTCCAGATGCTGCAGCCCCTTGGCCTCGTTCTTCAGCACCTCGTCGAACAGCGAGGGCAGGTGGATGACGACGCCGTTGCCTGAAAATGTCAAGGGAAAAGTCTCAATGTTCGTTCTTCATTTGGGGGGATTTCCCCATCTGCAGGGGCCCCATGCTTTAAATGAGTAATAAACAACAGCAGATTGCAGTTGGCAGCCATGTGACTAAAACTGCAGTGGGATTTACGGATGCGGGGCTCGGAAATTGGGTTTTATGGCTATTGCCATATTGCCGTTCTCTCACGATTGGCTAAAGTCAATTCCGTAATTGGCAAACCTAGATTGGGCTTTGTTCTGAATTGAATTGTGTTAAATTGGGAAAAAACGAATACTAAGCAAGTGTTTCAATTTGTAGGTTAAAAAATAAACCCTTAAAGCTTATATCGTTTTAAAAGTTTTCAGTCTATGGCCCTGAAAATGAAATAAACAGTTTACTTCAAGTTACCAATAAGATTGTTAGCCAAATAAAATCGACTATCTAAGTCAAAATAAAACCGACTATCTAGGCCTTAAATACCAATGAATTAATGTGTGTTAAGTTTAAGAGCTTGTATAACAGTTTTTAGTTAATCGCCTGGAATTATTGTTCAATAGAAGTACTTTCTTTGAGACCCCCCTATAAAAAGTAATCAAGATAGGAGATACGTTTGTTTAATACAATCCTACATAAGAACAACTACCAAAATCGGGGGATTCCGCAGCTTTTAAAGGTTGATATCTATATCGGGGAACGACAATGTTGCATAATAAAACGAATAGTTGACGAAATGGAAGTCCATGGAAGCAATTTCGAAATCATAATGCCAAGGCACGCGAGCCGGCTCAACGAACGGGGTCGTTTTGAATTGAGCTCCGAGCGGCTAGGAAATTAAAAATAATAAGTTAATTGCCTGATTAGAATAATTTTCCGCTACATGTCGGCATGTGTGTGAGTGCTTTTCTTGTGGCTGAGTGTCATAAACGATATCTGAAAGGCGAAAGCTCTCGGGGAATTGTTATGGGGCTCGGTTGCGGTTCTGACTATCTCACAAATTAGTCTTGTGACAAACGATGACAGTGCGGATTGGGCTGTTGCCTTTGGCAAACAATGACACCACCCACAACCGCAGAGCACACACCCAACTTGCAACACATCGATTAAACTTTGAAGCCAAAGAGCAGGACAAAGTTGCGAAAATAATATTGACAAACAAGCGACCTTGGCGGTGACAGTCAGTGACGTCACACTGGCACTGCCTGGCACTAAGGTATTATGCATCTTTCTTATTCTGATTTAATTATCTGAATTGCTTATCTACAGAAATAGAAAACCTTTCGTTTTCATGGGCATGGGGTGTACCAAAGTCGAAAAACAGACCAACTGACCCGCGAGCCAATGTCAATGATGCACTAAATCTTGCCAGAAATTCCTCGCCTACATCTGCCTTTGTATATATCGGCATATATATACATATAGTTGCATATATATTTGCTCGATACGTTCAATTTAAGTTTGCCACAGAGCGAGTAAAAGCTAAAAGCAAAACAAACCGACAAAGCAGCGTATATTTACGAGCTATACTGTATGCGAAAATTCTGTATTTGTATATTTAAATTTCAAATCAAGAAAACAAAAGCGAAATGGCGCAAAGGAAAGGAGTTTTTTGCTTACTTATACTGACATTATTCATTGTTCTAGCTTCATAGCTTTTTGCACAGTAAAGATGCTCTGATCCTGACAGATACTGGCTATCAATTTTATACGATCTGTATGCAATATTCTCTTTGCTTGCTCTTTGCTCTCTGCAGATCAAGGCTCCAGATCCAAGTTCTCAACTTACCGATCACGGAAACGCACTTCTCGTTCACAACTCCACTGGGTAGCAGATGAAAGTCGAACTCCGTGCCATTGGCCACCACGGTGTGCCCAGCATTATTGCCTCCCTGTGGAGAAAAAGGATTGAAAAATGAGCTCTACATTTCGCAGATATACAAACTAGGTGTAGGTGTTGATATACAAAATTAGCATTATTTTTTGTTTTGCTTTCGCCTGTTCGGCCGAGACTAAAAACAATGCTTGTGTGAAAAATAAATAAATATTGTAGGTATATTTTGCAAATTGAACAACACAGAGCCCATCGAACGGGGAATATTTGTCCCACGTGCCCACAAATATCAAATGACAATAAACGAGAGCGATTCTACACATACAGATAACTACGGATATCTCACGTAAGCACTCGAGAAATTTAATGTGTTTTCCCCTTTCGTTTTTGGCAACTGTACAAAATTTTCTACATTTTGCTAATCTAACGAAATTTGTTTTCTTTATGAATATACTGTAAGGTGGAATACACAAAAAAAAATGATTAGCGACAGAAAAAGAGTGAAAATTCTGGAACCTTCACAAATCATTGCTAAAAACCAAAAGCAAGATAATCAAAATGTTTACGCGGTGCCAAGGAGAGGGCTTATAGGCGGGCTTTGTGATAAGATACGGGGAAATGGCGAGATCACAATCGCCGGGTCCCGGTTTTTAGTTCCCGACCGTGGCCTATTGCGACGCAATATGCGGAATTCGGATTCCGGAATTCAGAAAATTAAATTTATAATGCTGGCGTAATCGGAAGCGCCCGGGGGGCGTGTCAGTCGTGTGACTCAGGCGGGTGCGATAATCGACCGGGGATGATATTATATAAGGGCACCACTGATAAGAGCGCTTCGATTCTGCTGAGCCACTGTGATGGATAGAATATATTCTTTGCGGCATATCGTACAATGAACTGCGTAGGTGGTTCTGGGAAATCAACAAGTTGCTGGGCACAAACAACCCATTAACGACACGCAATGCCCTATTCCCAGAGATGTTTGTTTACCCAGACCGGAGTTCTGCAAACAAAGCTCGTCTGGAAGCCAATGATTCTGCATGGATTGCATTTCAAGTTGTTCTTCGACCATGATTCCAAGTTTTGTTGAATGATGTTGGCGGTTATGTAAACCTGGCAGTCCGCTGAGGGAGCAACACAGATGTGTGGAAGTGAGACGGGGATAGGAATTAACGTCAGGCGGAAGAGAGATGGCGGCTGGGAGAGGGAAAGAGACGGCCAGAACCAGTGACGAATTTTGCTGCGCCAGCATTGTTGGCAGACTTGCTGACGGAATAGCAGTGCTGTTGGCCATTGACAACCAAAAGTCGCTACAGAGGGAATCAGACTTTATACAGGCTTAATACAATAAGATTCTGACACGGAAACCGAAACTTTTAGGAGCACATGTAATTGAATTTGATGTAATTTTCATCTTGTTGTCTGCTTTGGCCACAATGGCTTTTAAGCTATTCTCCCCTTATAAATGAATTTTATTTACTTCAAAAATCTATAATTTTCAATAAACAAACTATGTATAAGAATATATGTACCTTTTTAAATTAAATGAAATTCTTAATAAGCTTATGAATTTTTTTAATTTAAAAAAATTTATTTTTTAATTTGTGTTTGGACCCACAAGCAAAAACAATATAATTTTGTGAATATCAGTGAATTTGGCATAAGCCAGGTTCGATCAACTGATGGTTATCCCCACATGCACCTGCTGCTCTGGCTAGTTCCTGACCTCCGGAACATGACAGATGCGGATGGAAAAGCGCCGCGCGGCCAGCACTACGGCATACACACCAACACATCGAAGTCGCTCGGATGGGGTACGGGCGGTCGGGCACACACATGCGCCGCGCGGCACAAACACTTGGACAAATAGGCTCACGGACAAGTACAAAGCGCACACACAGACGCAACCACATGGCGGGCGCAGAATTGATAAATACAAATGGGAAAGCATGCGGCGGCCGAAAAGAGCGATAATGTGCTACTACGCACAAGAAAAAAGTGGCTCATCTGGCGAAATACGCAGATGAGACGTCCTTGGGCAAGGATACAGCCGCTATCAGCGGTGCTCCTACGGGTAGAGTTCCCCCAATTGGTTTTTCCAGATAGACCGACTGATATGGCGTAATGCTCACCTGGCACCTGCACACGATGTCCACATCGGAGGCCAGCATGTCCACTACCTTGCCCTTGCCCTCGTCGCCCCACTGGGCGCCCAGGACGACGTCCACCTTTGACTTGTACATCTTGGTGCGGCCCTGGTGCAGCTGCTCGTAGTGGGTGCCGTTGGTGGCGGTCGCAGACATCTCCCGGAGCGGATCGAATCGGATCGGATCGAGCACGGAACACGGAACGGAGCACGGATCTCGGCGGGGCTCGAAGTCTTGCGTCTTGAACACGTTGTGATTTTCCTCTGGTTTCTGCGCTGCACCAGCATTCGGCTATAAAACAAACGGGGGCCTTGGCGCGGGCGTACGGTCCTACTGCGCGGCGGATTGCGGGCGCTCGCCGCGAGGGTAACACTAAACGCGTTGCGTGGGTGGTTCCCAATGCGGTCATATTGAACTCTTTGATTGTATACCGGTATCCTTCTTTTTATTAATTATTTTAAAAGTTTTATTTGGTGTGTTGACAAAATGTTTTGCTCTTATCAAATATCCTACGTCGTTGGCAAGTTCCCCATAAGTGGTTACTTTGAGCCATATATACACCGTGATATATAGCAGTTGTACAAATCTTTTTACGTATTCTTTGCGTTCTATGATTTAAGATCAGAACAGACTTAATTAATGGTTTAGCGACTTAGTTATTTTTATTTAAATTTGATGTATAATAGATGCACAGCGTATACTTTGTAGTTAACGTTTTAAAAGTTCGGGTTTATGGAACTATGTATTTAAATGGAATGCTTACGACATTAGTTTAGACATTAATTAGTTTGAATTGTTCATACAATATATTAAAAAAAAACAATTAAAAAAAAGTGCGTTTCATTTTCAACTATTTTGTAAATTATTACTTTATTTTCATTTAAGTTTACTCCAAGTCAAAAAACCGTTTCTTAGCGTGCACGCATTTTTCTGTTTTGGTGCCACTGAAGAAGTGTTAGTTGCGGTCATACTCTCGATCAGCTGTTTTAGACCGCATTATTTTGTTTACTTTAGTTTACCATGTCGGAAGCCGAAGAAACTTGTCATTTGTAAGTACTTCACTTCTTTAAAATAGCTTTTCTATATTAATGCGAAATTTACAGCTGCCGGGCAGCGCCATTCAAGTACACCTGCCCCAAGTGCAATGCACTCTACTGCAGCGTGGGGTGCTACAAATCACAGGAACACCTTAAATGCTCCGAAGAGTTTTACAAATCCTGCATTCAAGACGAACTCTCCGGAGCCTGGGCTACACAGGAAAGCCAGGAGGACGTGCGAAAAATATATGACATTTTAAAGAGAATGCGGGAAACAGACGGCGGTTTCAATCCGCAGGGCTTTGACACAGATGGATTGGAAAACCCGTTGGATTCGGATGATGGTGAGGAAGAAGGAGCGGAAAAAGATGACGGCGAAGAGGAACCCGGCGGAGAAGATCTACCCGAGGAGGACTTTGAAGAAGACATTGCAGCCCGTCTAAAAGGCGTCGATATCAACGATGCGGATGAAGTTTGGAGCCGACTCACCACGGAGGAGCAAGAAGAGTTCCAGAAACTGATTACCAACGGCGAAATCATGAAGCTCATGCCGGACTACAAGCCCTGGTGGGAGAAGCCAAAGAACTCCAAGATTGTGGTCATTCCCACACCAGAAGAGGCTGCCAAGAAAGCGAGCTCCGTTCCCGAGATATATGGTAACATTGCCAATTTCTCGGATATATGCAAGAAGACACCTTCGCCCTGTTTGCACTACAATCTGTGGAACATTCTGAGCGCCTACGCATGTGTAGCTCGTTTTTTTGGTGGCGAACAGAGAACCAATGCCAGCGAAGCGGTGGCCCATCTGGTTAATCTCAGTGCAACTTTGAAGTACGGCACAAACTTCGAGGATGCCGAGGATGCAATAGTCTCCGTCGAGATGGAAGCCATCACCACTGGCAACGGGCCAGCGGGAGCGGCAGCTGTGGGTAGTGCCGGAGGGGGATCAAATTTCCTGGTCGAAAGCAGGGAGCAACTCCACCAAGATGCCCGTCAGCTAATGGCTACAACGGACAATAAGTTGGCCGCCTTGAGCGATGTGCTCCTTCTCCTACAGCAGACCAAAGCATTAAGCCGGCGGAAGAATGCCCAGGAAGCCGAGTTCCAAAAACTTTTCGCTCTGGCCAGCGGCAGTGTGGAGCTAGATCGCACGAAATTGGCGCAACTTATGCGGAAAATCGAGTTCTTGCTGTCGTACGTTGCGCGGGAAGAGGTCCTGTGAGATTTTTGTCAAAATATATCATCTTATTTAAATTAAAAACGTTTGTCATTTCCCTCTTGGGTTTTGTGTTACCTCAAAAATGGAAGCGATCGTAGACCCCATAGTCCTTCTGCTGAAACCTCTTCTACATCTTGTTGTAAGTCAAACTGCACATATAATTTTTTTTTTTGGTGATATACAAGAAAACTTACTCTACGATTGCTTGAAATCTTAACAAGTTGATTTTTTATTTTAGGAATATAAATGTTATTTATACAAAAAAAAAACCAAAATAAGGAAACTGAAATATATTATACTATTGCATTTAATTGAAATATTTATGCACAATTGGTTCGTATCTAAATTGAAGTGAGATGAAAGATAAAGGGCAATATTAATCTATAAAGCTAAAAAATCATATTTTGCTATTAACTCCAAAATTAATAATTCGTTACGGTTTTGCGCTGCCTCTTAAGGGAACAACTATAAAAATATAAAAAATGGTCACCCAAATTTTTAAACACAATATGCCAACAATATTTTAAAACAATTTAGGCAAACTGTTTATTTTAAACGTAAGTTGCACTACATTTTTTTTTTTTATTTGGCACGTCTGTAAAAAAAAATCAAATAAAAAGTAAACAAACTCTACATGGTATTTTGCCCACGTCTTCGGCCCGCTCGGTATATTTTGACCACCGCCGCACGGTCACACATAGTTTTTTAGTTGGCGATTCCAGACACACCACTCGATTGTAGTGCTTTTTTACGCTATTTTGTTATTTGGTAGGTGTTCAGTGCGCCCGGAATAGTAGGCTGTCGAAAACACGGCGCCAGGAACTAACAATTACGACATAAAATGCAAAGCAGCAGTGGCTATAGTAGCAGTGAAAGCGATCTTGGTTTAGAACATTTCGTGTAAACGCGTTTGGGTGTAGCGGAATTTCGCATCGGTGTGTGTGTGTGGGCCCAGACTCGGCGCGTGTGTGCGTGTCGGTGTGCGTCTGGCAACAACAATATCCAATCGGCCAGCAAGTGCTCTTCGTACGCTTCGCCTGCTAAAAATTAGTGCACAGCAAAACAGTTTAATCGCAGCACCCAAAACCTTATGTAAGGTGGCTGGAAAGCGATGCAAATATTTACAGTAAACGGCAGAGACAAGTTCAATCTAGAAGATAAACGAGTTTCTAGGCGATGGGAGGGGGTGGGGGCCTCTTATCGCCTAAGTGTGCGACGTGTTGGCTTAGGTGTGCGTGTGTGTGTGTGTATGACCGCCGTAAACTTGCTTATCTATCTCCACAAATATGCGAAGTATGCGTCAACCTGTTTGTAAACTTTCTGTTGGCCATCTCAGCTCACGAAAATCGCAAAGAGCCGCGAATGGCGATTGGCCGTGACTGCAGCGGCTTGATATTTATTATTTATAGCGATGAGGGAAACCCGTAAGCGCATCAAGTGCCGATGACGCCCAAATCAAGTCAACGCAAGATTCAAGACCTGGACAGCGTCATCAATCTCGGAGTGTCTTTGTGTGCGGTGATTAAATTCCAGCGACGATTGTTATGTATATATAACCGGTCAATGTCTGCTGATAACATAACCGTTATTATTTATACGGGTGTGTGAGTGGAACTTAAAGCAACTGCATTGTTTACCAACAGCTGATGCAGGAAACTCCTCCGATAAGATACCTAGTTTTCCCTCCGGAAACTCGAAAAACATATACATAACACTTTACACAGAAAGAAAACTCTAAACGGTGTAAAGATCAAATTGATCATTTTTAAGCAGTTAAAATTATTTTAAACTTATCAAAATGATGCTCTATATTTATATGATTACTTATCATTAAAGCAAATTATTGGTAGTTTTATACCCAGATAGAAAAAATTCTTATGGAATTTGGTTACCTTATTGGCAGGTTAGTTTCTTGAAAGGTTTGAATTTGATTTTATCTTGAGTTAATAAATTGTATAGTATTTGTATTATTATGTTGTTTAAACATAACGTCTAAGAATCTGTGATTTCTTCCGGTGTGCAAAAGAAAAGTTTCCCAATGAGTCAGGGTGATAAGCGCCGTCTTTATCAATGGGGACACTCGGCAAAGAAGAGTAAGAAATATGATCGTTGATAAAGCTCCAATAATTAAAATTCTACCTGTTGCATCAATGCAAAGGAATTTCTTAATAGAAACAAATTAGGCAAACAATTAATTTACCCAGCTCGTTTTGGCTAGTATATTGTTCAACAAACGATTTGTTGGGCCAAGATAAACACTACAAAAATACAAGTTTGCGTATAAACAAAGAGCTTTGTTGTTGCTGCTGCTCTTGTGTGGAAGTTGTTTATGGCGGCAGCGTCTATTTACGTAGACCAAACTCATATTTTATTATTATGGCGCTTAAACCTTTCGATGTGATTGATTAATATCGATTGGTGTCCGCAGGAAATGTCCCACCACAGCGATGATCAGCTCCTCCAGGCCACCAGCGATTCCTTCTGGGAGCCCGGCAACTATAAAAAGACCACCAAGCGGATCGAGGATGGTTATAAGTGAGTATTTAATCCCCGGGTAGTCCCTATGCACAGAGAAAAACTCGACTTCGGTTATGTCATCCGAACGGATTAAAATCCAATCAATTTGTTATAATAGACAAACACACGTTGGTCAACATTCGTCTTTTTTCGTTTTTTATCAACGGTTTTGGAATACCAATTGATCAATTTAAACTTTTCTGTATATTCAGTTACAATGAGGGATTTCTGTTTCATCATTTTATCGAATCAAAATTCAAAGCAGAACCACTAAAAAAATGAAAGGCTTTGATCTGGTTTTTCTTTATATTTTGAGTAAGACATTTTATAAAAAATGCTGCCATGAGGGCTAGCACCATATGAGTAATTGTGGATTATTGACTAACTTGAGGGTTTTGCTCTGTGTATAAGCACTTGGCTCGCTGGGTCATTGCCAGCAGAATCCATTCGAACCCGAACCCAACCCCAAACCCAAATCCAAACCGGTTTGCATTATTTTGATTTTTGTCTCATTTCACACGCAGACTCTGCAATGACCTACAGCAACTGATTCAGGAGCGTGCCGAAATCGAGAAGGGATATGCGAAAAGCTTGCGCACCTGGTCAAAGAAATGGAGTGAACTCATTGAGAAAGGTGAGTGAAAAGCGGTTGGGCGGTTGGTCGTGTGGGCGGCGACATGAGACATAATGTGTCTTGTAAGCCTGCTATTTGTTAACGCATCCATTGAAGCCCAGCGGGGCAGTTGTATTCCCACCACATATTTGGCCCACTGGCTGTTCTTATTTTCCACATTCTGTACATCATTCTGAGCATTGTTGTTGCCGTTGTGCGATAAGTGGCTTAAGCTATTAATGGCTTTTTTTTTGCGTTTTTCGTTACCTCGTTTTTTTCGGTTGTAGTCTGTAAAAGCTCGGTACTGTGGTTCAAAATTGTAGGTCTTATTTTTAAAAAATATATTAATTGTCAGGAAGAGCAAAGCGTTTGGATTAGCCAGCATAAACTTTTGTATACAAATATTAAACTGGCGAAGGAAATGCCATAATTTGTATATACAAAGAAAAATCTAAACAAAAAGATCAAATGGGTTTTGATAAACACTAAAGCATATTTAATTTTTAAGATTTTTTAAGAGCTCTTTTTTAGAACTAGTGAACTAGAGGTTTAGAAGTTGTTTAATCATCATGTCAAATGTTAAACCTCATAAAAGTTTATACCTTCTTGGCTAATTTTTGATAGCAAACCTTCTTTGAAACCGCTTGGCGCCCAATGTCGGTAAATGGCCACGGTTATAGACCATTGCTATTCCTTACTCATGGAATTGGGTTACCGACCATTTTTGGCGGATGTCCGGCACAGTGTGCGCGCTTCTTCGTGAAATGAAATCGAGTACAGCGCTTGCAAAGTTGGAAACCGCTTTGCCTCATTGCTGCTGCTGCTGTGTTTCTATTGCTGCTATTTTCTGTGACCGCCTCTGCACGGAATTCTCAGTGTCCACTTTCACAGTAACCAGCAATGGGCAATTGCAAAAGCGACTACCATTTCCTCCGCCACCGCCACCGCCTCCGAATCCGAGTTCTCTTCGTATTTTCTCAGTTGGCCAGCGTATTTGTGCGGAATTTGCCTAGCTGCGTCTAGTCGAAGATACAGATACAAATACAGATAGACCGATATTCCAGTGGATGGAGATATGGAGACTGAGCGGCAGAAGCGCTGGCCAGTGGCCCATTGCCCGGCACCAAACCGGCACCAAAGCGTCGCTTGAAATGGTTTCAAAAATCAATGCGAGGGGAAAATAGAACGAGTTATTTCTATGCTAAGCGTCTCAATTTCTATATATCACTGTCTGTGTGTTGGCAGCGGGAATTGGGGATAGCAGTGGGTCGTTAGGCAAACAAGTTTCGTGCACTGCCAATTATAAGACGAGCATCATATCAATTTGATTGCGGTGTGCTAGCGGCCAATAAAAAATGCCAAAAATGTGCGATGTTTCGCGATCGCAGGCACCCATACAAGCGCTCTCGTTCCCCAAGTATATTGTATTTTCCTTACCTATATAACAAGAGCTATAGGTATATCTTGCGGCTGCGGCTGATTAGATAAACCAAACCGCCCGAGGGGCCGCCGATGACGTCAGCGGCAGGCAGCTCGACTTGGCGACACGCTTGTAATCTGTTGTTAATTGAGAATCGCTACACGAGATATAAAGGTAATGCTTGATTTGTTTCAGGTCCGGAATACGGAACCACGGAGGCTGCCTGGAAGGGCGTGCTGACGGAATCGGAGCGGATCTCCGACGTTCACATGAAGATCAAGGACAACCTGTGCAACGATGTCAACACCCAGATCAAGACATGGCAGAAGGAGAACTACCACCACACGCTCATGCAGATCAAGGAGCGCAAGGACCTGGAGGATCTGTTCAAGAAGGCCCAGAAGCCCTGGGCCAAACTCCTGGCCAAAGTGGAGAAGGCCAAGGCGGACTACCATTCAGCCTGCAAAACCGAGCGCAGTGCTACCAACCAGGAGCGCAATGCCAATGCCGACAGCTCGTTGTCGCCGGATCAGGTAAGAAACTGGGTGAAAAATTGGAAAAACAAATTATTAAATTATTAAATTATATTGGGGCATTAGTTGCAAAAAAAAAAATTATTTATAGCCCAATTTGAACAGAAGTCATAAAATATATGACAACAATTACATATTTGAATAGCATTTGTACCAATCAATACCTAACAGAAACATGTATTTTTGCATGGTTTTAATAACAATTGTCTAACCCATTTATTTTCAATTAACCAGGTGAAGAAAATGCACGATCGAGTGCAAAAGACCAAAGATCAAGTGCAAAAGTGCCGGGAGAAGTACGAGCAGGCGATTGCCGAAATCACCAAATACAATTCGGTGTACATTGAGGACATGACATCCGTGTTTGAAAAGTGCCAATCCTTTGAGAAGACGCGGTTGCAATTCGTCAAAGAAATTCTGTTCAACGTGCACTCGTGTCTTGACCTCACCAAAGTGCAAAGGTACAAATGGATTTAAACCAACTCAAAAAGAAGAAAGCCATTAAATAATATCTCTCTTGCCTTACAGCCTGCCCCAAATCTATGAGGAGTTCTCCCACACGATCAACAATGCAGACTATCAGAAAGACTTAAAGTTCTGGTCGAACAATAATGGTATCAACATGGCCATGAATTGGCCCTCGTTTGTGGTGAGTTTGCTATTTTATTGAGTCGCAAGTCGGTGGCCTAATGGAACTTCCGCTCTGTTAATAGGAATACACGGAGGAGTTCCGCGACATTGCCAAGGGCAACAAATCAAAAGAGGCACTGCCGGCAGCACCAATCACGCTCATCAACCAGCGACCTGTGGCCGAGGATGTGCACGTAAGCCCGTCGACTGTTCGGCATTTAAAAGCATACTAAGTCAGTCGGCTCTTTAGCAGGAATACCCAACGACAAACAGCCTGAAGAAGAACACCAGCACCCTGAGCAGCGTTAGCAGCAGAGCGAGTGTTAAGAACGATGTTGCGACCACGCAATCCACATCCGAAGTCAAAACAGCGGCTGCAACGGCAGCGGTATCAGCGGCAGCGGGAACGGCGGCAGCCGCGGCATCCAATCGCAATCCGAGCGTAACGTAAGTTGAAACAGTTTGTATTGTTTTGAATTACACTCGGACTGGCTGGCCCAGCAGAGACACGTCGCTTGTCGCTTGGATGTGCTCATTTTCATTGAACTAATTGATTTCAATTTGTGTACACAGAAACGGCAACGGCAAAGCCGATGCAAATCCATTCGACGAGGAGGAGGAGTGGGACGAGGGCGACAACGTGCTGGTGGACAACGGTGAGCCGGGTGTGCCGGTCAAAGCGCTCTACGATTACGAGGGCGCTGAAAGTGATGAGCTCACATTCAAGCAAGGTGAGTGGAAGCCCTCTATATGATAATCTCCAATGGTCACCGCTCACCGCTCAACCCTATTCGCTCGCTCGGCTCTTTCAGGTGATGTTTTCGAGAAGCTCGAAGATGAAGACGAACAAGGCTGGTGCAAGGGACGCATGAATGGGCGCGTCGGCCTGTATCCGGCCAACTATGTGGAGACCGCGTAAGCCGGCGGAACGGAATATGTAGTAGAAGTCGTTAAGCAGATATATATATACAGCAGATACGTATATGTAGCATTACAGCGAGGTAGAGACGCATTACGGATTGCGCGTATACAGTAAACAGTCGTTGATGAAAAATATTACCATACATATGTATTAGAAATTGTTATGAGCAATCGCTCGCACTATGCGTATTTCAATAGTGCGGCATCCGAGGGGCATTGGGCGTTATATCTACTTGAGATCGATAGATGCACCGATACTGATCAAACCAACCAATCCAACCTACCAATCAACTCACCAACAGTAGCAATGCGGTCATTAGCGGGCCGAAAAGAAGATACAGATATGTAACAGAAAACTTAGCGAAAAGTCGTCAACAGAAGAACAATAAGTGTAAACGTCAATGTACGAAATGACATTACAAATTAAATGTATTATGTAATTTATGCTATGTATAACAAACTGAAAGTGAAATTATGTATTTTTTGTCACGATGCGGCCGCATTTTTACTCCCTCTCTGCGCCGTAAACCTTTTTTGTGGCCAGCCGGGGGGCGCAGCGTAATCTTTGGCATATTTAGATATTGTACATGCATAGCATTTGTAATGCGTTTCTTGAACATTTTATTATTTATGAAGTTTTGTGTATACATACGTATTGGAGTATGTATACTGTACATGTACATTTTTAAATGACTTAAATTATTGAAATAAAACAAGCAAAACACTATTTCGAATGACTTTACAATCAATTACTTAGTTTAATTTATATTAAGACTTTGTATCAAGATCAATACTGTTTGGCTCTCTGACAAATTTTTTTTTTGACTGTATTTGTTAATTCAAATTCGTCTTATTAGACTTTTAATAATGAGTTGCGGATTATAATTATGAATTTGAGACAAAGAAATGAAACACGTGGTAGTGTTCACAATATTTGTTTTATTTCTATCAAACATTTCTTTCGTCTTTAAGTACTCATGGTATTTTAAATGAAACCTGAAAGTCAGACTTAATCCAAAAATACATGCTCTAAATGGCAGTACTGTCAGGGAAAGAGGAACAGAATGGTTGTGGGTTCTTAAGGGGGGGTAAGGTTTTAAAGGCCAAAAAAAAGGGCCATGTTTGATTTTTTTTTGCGGCGAAATGAGTAAGTTTATTTTATTGAGCTTAATTACATGTTATTGTTTAACTCTTGAAGAGTATTAGAAAAAAAAAATTATTAAAAAATATTAAGAAATAAGCCTGTGGCGGTTAATCTTCCGAAGCGCCTAAAGAAAAAGTTGTTTTGCGGTGAACATCATAGGGCGTTAACGGATCATCTTAAAAATAAAATGTGATATTCGTTGTAAAGATAATGAATTTCCCGAGGTAATCAGGAAGAGTTTTTTTAAATTTATTTTTTGTCTATTTTTGGGAGCACTTGAAAGTGAAAAGTGCGATTTTAGCTTAAAAAATCGCTGTTAATTAATTTTTTAAAAATAGAAATAAATTAAAAATTAAAAAAATCTCTTCCTGATTACCTGCGTATTTATGTTGAGATTTTGTGTTAAAAATTTGAAAAGGATCGGTTCAGTAGATTTTGAGTTCTGATGTTCACCGGCTTTCAAAATAACGTCTTTGGCAAAATCGATTCAAAGTATTTTTACACGTGAAAATACGTCCAAATCCGGTAGTTTAAAACGCTGTAACTCCGTTAGTTTGACTTTAATTGACTTAAAATTTTTACACAATGTTCTCGACATATTGGTCATTAAAAAAAAAAAATTTTTAAAAAATGTAAAAAAAAAATTTTTAAAACCTTACCCCCCTTAAAGATGTAAAAAGCCTTTTCTATCACTGAACCACCTCAAACTTTTAAACAGAAAAATGAGCTTGACGTTTCATTGCTGTCATTTATTGCCAATAGTTTACAGCAAAGGAGTTACCCATTTCTGGCTGTCTCCAACTTATCCTTTTCTTTCTACGCTTCGAACAGCACGAATGTATAAAATCATATTTTATGAGGCCAGGGAAATTAAAAACTTATTTCGAACAATAAATAGAAACAGCAAACAATGTCCGATTTCTCAATAGAACGCGTAGAAAATAAGCGCACGGTGAATGGGCGCACGGAGTACTATATAAAATGGAGTGCCTTTCCGCGCAGTGAAAACACTTGGGAGCCGGTTGAGTATCTCGAGTGCCCCAACTCGATGGCGACGTTCGAGGAGTCGCTTAAGAACAATACGGAGACCAATGAGTCCCTGTCCAACGAAAACGTGGAGCAGAAGAATGGCTTCGATCGTGGTTTGGAGCCCTCAATGATTCTGGGTGCCGTCAATTCGTCGGGCCAACTTATGTTTCTTATGATGTGGAAGGACAGCGATCAATCGGAGCTGGTGCCCGCCAAGCTAGCCAACATCCGCTGCCCCCAGGTGGTCATTGAGTTCGACGAGAAGTACTTCGGATTCTCCACGGGCAGCGTCAGCGGGGACGGGAACAACAACGGCTCCGGCAATCTGGGCTCCTCCGGCGGCATGGATCCCGGCAGTGTGATCCTTTCACTCTATGGCAGACACCAATGGAGCTGGAGAGCAGAGCCGGCCACTTTCACTAATTTCATTAACAATTCGCTCTGCCTGATTATTAAAAAATAAAAAATAAATCACCAGTTCTGAACCACTTTAGAAATGAAGAACAAACTATCACATGTTTCTAATAGTTTAGTAATTGTTGAGAATTTTATATTTTTATCTCATATTTGATTAAACCATAAAGATGGAAAATGTTGTCCATATTCGAAAATCAGTTAACATTAAAATTATTACAATGCCTTTTGCCGTTAAAGGTAACCTTCATTAATATGCAAATGCATAAGCGCATCTTTTTACAACAACATTTTAATTACTTAGCAAACCATTTTGATTTGACGGCTGTCTCTTTGTTGGGAAGTTACTGAGAACAATAAATGTTTGGGCACGAGAAGAAAAAGTTAGAATACAGACAAAAAAGTGTTTAAAAGCCTTGCAAGCTTATTGCTTTGAAACAAGTTCTTGATTTATAAAAATGTAAAAACAGGTAAACCTTAGTTGAACGAAAAGTTGCGTGTTGAAGATGATTTTGGTTTTCTGTTTCTTCAATTCGGCAACAACTTTTTGTAAAAAAGCATGTTATTTGGGTTTTCTTTTTCGTTTAAGGCAAAAAAAAAATTGTATTTCCGTTTTTTGAGCACGTTTTTAACTCAATTGACAACGCTAAAATTCTCTCTGTGTAGCTATTAGTTAAGGAACCTGGGAAGATCATGCCTAATTGTAAAAATCTATGTCTAAGTTAAATGACGTCACCGTACATTGTGGTGTATTTAAATTTTATGTACGATCTAACGCAACTATAAAACCGCTCTAGCCTCTCATATTTTGCGATTGCGACTATATGGGTACAATCTGTATAGCTCCCAGCTATTCAAAGCTATCGGTTCATAAATTACTGCAGTTGCGAGAAAGACCGCGAACGGAGCGGTCGTTAAAGTCAGGTTCTATTATAATTCCGAAATGTGTTCTAAACCGCCGAATCGAGTATAGGGATATAAACTGATCCTAAAATAAGTAAATTGTTCTACACTTTAGAGACAAAAGTTCACATTGGATAATTGTCATTTCAAATATGTCAAACACAAAATACCAACTTATTCCAACAGAGGAAGGGCTCTATGAAAACAAGCCTTCAAAATGGATAACGAAAATAGGCCTTATATGTGTGCTTCTCATGATAGTGGCGATTTATACTCTGAGTTCCGCCGGAATTCAGTTAGATAGCAGTACAGTGAAATATCCAAGCGATTCTTCGAATCCGTGGGAGATCTCAACGGAATCAAGCACTCCAAATACTCCCAGTGTTTCGGAGGCATTGGATAATCCGTACGAAACCTCTACTTATGGTGCTATAAATGTGACAACCGTAACCCAAAATTCAACTTTAAATGCTACAATAGATCCCGTAATCTTCCAAACAGAGAAAAGATATCAAGCGGAGGAAGAAGAAGAAACTAACCCGTATGTTAGCATTAGCAATACTTTTTCACATGTTACTGAGGAATCGAAAACAGAACCTTCATATGAATTAGAAACTAAGTCGGGAGTGAAATACTTTGTGAACAGCGATGGATGCCAAATGACCCACCCGAATCCTTTTGCCAGCAATATCCTCAAAATCTACAAAAAACATAGCTATATAGTATGCGACTCGAGTCGCGACATGATCACAGTGAACTTCAATGAAACGGACAGCACCTACAGGCTTCATAAAATCGACAATTCCATCTGCTGCTACAAAAAGATCCTTCGAGCAGGAGTTGCAGACAAGGCTGATCACAGCTACAAGTAAGTTGCAAAAATCATCCTGAAATGGACTCTGAAAATGAATATCTTGGCAGACTGGGTCCGTGCGTTAAAATCCAGCAGGACTTTTTGGTTCCCACTGATGTGACAGCCATGATCGCTTATTGCCACCGGCCTCCCCATGATTATGCCGTGCAAAAGAACGTCTTCAGTTTCGTCCATCCTCGGAAAGATTCCGACAAAAGTCCCAAATCGGCTCACGAAAAAAGGCCCAGCGTTTTGCTCTGGGGCATCGATTCCGTGTCCCGAATGACCATCGAGCTGACCATGCCCAAGATGTACGAGTACTTAAAAACGAGCAACTGGTTCGAGCTCCAAGGCTACAACAAGGTATTTATGATTTACATAAATAAATTAATAGTTTGAAAATTTTATAAAACTGAAAAAGAAATCCTCCAAGTACCGTATACTTGAATCTCAAACATATATATTTTGTTATTTTACGATCAGCTTGGTTATCTTAATCTTTTTTTTGAGTCAACGTCTGGATCTGTAGCGGAGTCCGTCTTTAGGGGCTAGCAACATTTTAAAGTCCAATATATCAAAAAATTCTAAAAATACTTACAAACTTGACGTGACAAAAGCACAAAAAATAACACGTTTTAGTCGCAGGAAGTGTTTTTAGTTAGAGAATTATTTAAAACAACGTGCGATATTAATTGGCTCAACCTTATAATTTATTTAAAGTATTATGTTTTATAATAAAACTTACGTAATACAAAAATAAATACTACTTAGCTGTTTCAACTGTCTGAAGAACCATAAATTCTGATAACACATTTTAGGACGAAATATGTGTTTATTTATTTGGCTCTCTGCAGCTAAATATGATTGCTATATTCAGTTGTTGTTTCTGATAAACTTTTAGGTGTGGAAAAAAGAAGTGAAATATATCTTGTTGGCAGTTAAAAACATTACAAAATATTTTATCTCAAATGGTGATTATCAGGGCTAACAGAGTTATGTTTTTAAATGAAAAAATATTTATTTCCATATTTTCGCCTTTTTTCCTATAAATCCATATTTTACACAATCACTTGAATAAATCCATATTTTGAGCATTAAAGTGTCTGAAAACCTATAGAAAGATATGTTTGGCTCAAATATTATGAAATTTCTGTCGTTTGCCTTATACTCGATAATAAATAATGAAAACAAAACATCGTTGCGTCTTAATCAATCAAAATATGTATCATCGAATGTAACAATTATGATGCAGTTTATATTTTAAGATTCAGTTTTTATTCCATATTTCATGCTTTCAGTTCTTATGTCTCTTAAATTCTAGTGTTTAAAAGTTATTGATTAATTCTATATCTCATTGATAGTTCTACAGAAGGTGACGATCTTATCCTGAATTTATCACCTGCTGAACTGAATGCATATGCAAATGCTCCTGTTACATCTTGCGATGCTGAGCGTTCATTTTCATCATAGAAACACATATTCAGTGACAAACGCCGTAGTTTTGTTTTTACTAATCTGACACAACATGTCATATTGTTCTGCAATGATCTTTGGGACAAATCTAGCGATTTCTAATTGTTCATTGTCATAAAAAGTTAATATGATCGATATAATCGTCTACGTTTATCCATTTTTATACCTAAATTTATCCCTTTTTCGTCTATGCTACCTATATTTATCCATTTTATTCTATATTTGTCAACTTTTTCGTCCATATTTCGTCCATATTTCTCTATTTTTTCGTCCATAAATCCATACATATTTTTACGTTTTTAAGAACATAACTCTGTTAGCCCTGGTGATTATATTATGCGGGAAAACTGCTTGTTTTATAAAATATAATATAAATGTCATTAGAGGACATTTGGATTTTTGAACAAGAACTTTTTTAGGTACGCCAGGATATAATTTTATTATGTTCACATCGAATGATAAAATGTATCATTTTTATTTCTGCAAAGCTTTTAACATGATACAGATATCCCAGAATAATAAACCCATTTTGGGTATCACTTTAATTTTGGTTTTATTGCCACGAAGTCAAAACTTTTGGAGCAGTACACAAATTCGACCCTTTCTTATTTTCTTTATTATGCATTTTATAAATATTATGTTGATTAAAAATGCCAGAATTTAAAATACATTAACATACAATTTAAAACTGAAAAATAGTTATTAACGTACCAGCTTAGTCATCTGATATGCACCTTGACTTAAAGAATTTCCCCTTTCTTTCTTCATCAGATGGGCGATAACACCTTTCCAAATCTGATGGCGGTGCTCACGGGATTTAACAAAACCTTTGCGAATGCGCAGTGCCGACCAGACAAAGTGGGTGGCCTGGACGCATGTCCTCTGATTTGGAAGGACTACCAGGCGAGGGGCTACACAACGGCCTTCGCCGAGGACTGGAGTCCCTTTTCCACGTTTGACTACTCCAGCATGGGCTTCCTGCATCCGCCGACAGATGCATACGGCAGACCATTGATCTTGGCTGCGGAGAAAGAACTTAAGGTGACTCATCAGAGCCAACTACCTTATTGCCTGGGACGAAAGCCCGCCGCCGAGTACATCTACGACTTGGGTGTCCAGTTCACCAGGGTCAACCGGAACAGGACCTTTTTTGGCATGTTTTGGACCAACACCTTTAGCCACAACGACTTCACTGTGACCTCTGCCATGGATGCCAAGATGGTGGAGTACATGCGAACGTTGGAGAAAAAAGGTGTGATGGACAACACCATCATAATCTTCTTCAGCGACCATGGGTCCAGGTTCGGACCACTGCGGATATTGGACAGCGGATTCGTGGAGGAGCGTCTGCCCTTTATCTACTTCCATGTGCCTCTTTGGATACAGGATAAGTACCCGAAGCTTTTGCGCAACCTGCGGGTTAACAAGAATCGCCTCACCTCTCCATACGATATCCATGCCACCCTGAAGCACATTCTTGAACTGGATACTCCGCCGGAGAAGTTACCTCATCCGGATGCCTGTCCCTCCTGTCAGAGCGTCTTCTTGGAGATGAACTGGTCCCGCAATTGCTCCCAGGCTGGAATCGAGAAGCACTGGTGCGCCTGTGACAGCTCCTTCGAGCTGCCCACAAAGGATCCCAGAGCGAAGGTGATGTCCACCCAGCTGGTGGATGCCATCAACAAGTTTGTGTCCAGCAAAAAAGGAACGAAACGCTGCCGTCGGCTGAGGCTTAACCGAATAATCTCGGTGCAGCAAAGGAGCAACTCAAATCACTATTTGGTGCAAGTTAAAGCCCAGCCAAGGAATGCCATTTTTGAGGCCACCGTGGACTGGGACCCAAGTGCCCAAACGATCTCCATCCGGGTGCCCAGCGTCAGTCGATTGGACACCTACTTCGGGATGTCGGGCTGCTCGTCCGTTAAGGAGACCAAAAAGTTTTGCATCTGCTGAGTTGTATCTGAAAATCGTGGACAACCGCAAGACCGCACAAAAAAAGGAAGGAAATAGTTACTCTAATCTGTCGGATCTCCGGTCCTTTTGTTCCCGGAACGTATGGTGGCCTATCGCTGGGGTTGATCTCCGGGCGGATGGTTAGTTGCTGGCAACTACTTCAGCAAAAGTAATTGCGGCCAGGCGATTGTGCGAATGGAAAATTAGCTGACAATTACATGACAATTGTCAGATACTCGGGTAATTGCCTCGTGATTAGAAAAAGGTTTCAGCTCAAGTTGGTTTTAATCTTTGCAAATATTTCTGTTAGCTAGATAATTAAATACATAATTTTAAGCGCTTAATGGTCTTAGGTACCATCAAATTGCGTATTAAAAGAAGTAAACATATTATATCACTTTTTAGAAAAAGTTGCAAGCTACTTAAGAAGTACGTATAAAAAATTCTCATTAGGAAATTTTCACCTCAGCTGAAGTATTATAAATAATATTAAAACAAATAAATAAAATAAAATATTTCTAGCCCACATTCACTATAAGATTAAAACTTGCTTTTAATAATGTACATACCCCATATAGCTTTTAATTAATGAAAACTTAATAGCAATGAATGTTGTCAATAAAACAAACGCTACAACGAACGTTGCTAAAACCAAAATGTTATCTGCAGACTTAAAAATACATATATGTAATTCTGAAACAAGATAATTGTCAAACAATTAAATTTAAGAACCAGTTACTATTTTGTTTTCAATGAAAATAAAGAAAGCTTTTCATATTACACATAGTATGTATTGTATTGTATTAAAAATGCACCAAAAGATCACTGTGGGATGGTTCTTTTCAATTAATAGTGTAATTGATATCCTAAAATCTCAGCGAGGGTTGGCTCAAAACTCGCTTCACAAAGGCAACTGTTATGAAAACAAATTTAAGAATCAATCAAAACATTCGCGCATCAAAATATATCAGGCTCAACTTGTTTTCCCATCGAAAGGGATGAAATGGAATGGGATCTGATAGGATGGTGGGCTGGAGAAAAAACATGGCAGCGGGTCAATTCGGGGATGCGCAAGGGGAGGTAACCACCCAAAGTACGTCAAAATTGTTTACAGTATTAAAAGCCGAAGATCAAATGTTCTTAGCTTTAACTTCACAAGGAAATAAATAAAATTCAGCAACTAAGCTCCTATATCAAATATGCCTTTTTCTTAATATTTATTATATTCTATAATATATTTAAACTCTCCTCTACCATCTTAGTTAAAATTAAATTTTCTACAAGTTTTTTTTCTTTTTTAACAGGACTTGTTTGTTATTAACTTTATTAATGTTCTTTCATTATATGCTTTTAAGGTGTGCCCGATTTTATTGTAATCTTTTAATGCTAAAAAGAGATATAGCAATCGAATATGTTTAAGTATTTATACATTTCAATTTAACCCCATTTTAGTAAGGGTATACATTTATACATATTAGCGAATAACAGAAACTGAATCAGGGCAAAAATTTGATATGGAACTAAAGACAATTGAACTCGTGTACTTTATTGCCTTCGCGGACATAATCTGGCCAACTGATAAGGGTCATATAATTGTGCCAACGTTTGGCTACCTGGACGCGGTTGGTAAACGCCTATTAAACGCCTCGTTGCTTCCAAATGAGATTTGTATTGGGCCAATCACTCTCTCTTCGTCCTGACAGACAAGGATGGCCATACTGTCTGCCTGCCATGGAAATGGCGGCGATGGGAGGTCCTTGAATAAATAGGGCGAGGATGCGCAGCGAACTCATCAGTAGCACTTCAACCAGCTCAGCGAAAGGATCGCCCAAAGATGAGTGACTTCAGCATCGAGTACATTTTGAACCGTGCCGGCAATCGATTCGTGGGCACCAACGACTCCGTGGGTGTCCTGCAAAGGATTCGTGCCAGCCTGCCATTTCATCCGTACGCCCAAGCATCGTACTCCCTAAAGGAGCAGCGTGGAGGATCTCCGCCAGCTGCGGTGGAGGGTCAAGTTCCCGTCTACGATTGGCTGCAGTACACCCGCTATCATCCGCCCAAGTTGCCAAGGGCTCTGCGCCAAAATGCACCCGCCAAAAGGACTCCAGGTCGCCTGCCCCGCATCCCCTTCACTCCCCACCAGCTGCAGGCTCTGGAGAATGCCTACAAGGAGTCCAACTACTTGAGCGCCGAGGATGCCAACAAACTGGCCGAATCCCTGGAGCTGACCAACACGCGGGTCAAGATCTGGTTCCAGAATCGGAGGGCCCGCGAAAGGAGGGAGAAACGCGAAAAGGAGGAAAGCTGCGACTCCACCTTCTCCTCGAATGCTTCCAGTCCGGAACCGGAAATGATCGTTGTAGCTTAAGTTGGAGAACGGTTCATTATATCTAAAATTCCCCATTGGCTGTTACTGTGTCTCTCCTCATGGATAAACATTCAAATTAAGTGTCTTTCTGTAAACAACATTACATATCTTTAAGTTAATATAAGTAAATTATTACACATTAGGATGCTGACAATATTAAACTAATTAAATCGAAATCTATTTAAATTTTTTGGATGGTTATTTTGTAATGTTATTTGCTGGCTCGCTTGAAGTTAAGTTAATTAGAAAATATAAACAAAACCGAACATTGATTCTTTTTAAATAGTAACATACAAACATGTGAATTTTTAGTTTTGGAATAAAATCTCATAACGAAATATTTCTGCTTTTTTTACCCGTAACCACTTTTAACTGTTGAAATTCCATTATAAATGTTCGGAGTTTTGACATAAACGTCAGAAATGTATATCAGTCTGGGGCATAAATTACATAAATTATTAATTTCTTTTTGTATGTTTTCACAGCATCTTGAACCTGCCAAGGGTTAGCTACAGACGACTAACCACCAATAAAGTTCTCTGATCATTATAAATAGATATATTTAAAACCCTGAAAAACATTCAATGAACAATTATGAAAAAAATTTCAAGAAACTTAAGTTTGATGACACAATTGTGGAAACACCGCAGCTTATTGTGACCAATATATACATAGATTCTTTCAATTCTTTCTTGAATCAGGAAACGCAGCCTTATTTAAAATGTTTTAAAATGTCTTTTATTTTGTGTAACGGGTTATCTAGTAAAAAAATTGTTTCAAAACGAGTCATTCTTAACAAAAAAGTCCCAACAAAAACTTTTATCCTAAATTTTAAACTCCATTTAAGTATTAGCACAAATTATAATTAGTTTTTATCGTACTTCGGAAATTATTTTACTTTGGATTATTCAGTTGTGTCTTATAAAGTAAAAGCTGTTAAATACATGCATTTTGGGATTTATTACATTTTATAAGCTTAATGAACTTGAATTAAACACTGTCAATTTTAAAAAATGTTGAAAACAAACATATTTAACCCAGGTTTTTAATATAGTTACGTATTAAAATATTTTTAAAAATGCACAATATAGAATGGACTTATGCAGTTTTGTTGAACTCGAAATAAACCACTGCTTACCCACAGGTTATATTCTTTTTACCTTATGCTAATTACATATGGATCGAGTAATTTAATATTTCATTGCGGAAACTGGCTAACTACACTGCCTTTGTGTCTCATGGGAAAATTGAATTCGCATAATGGGATCAAAGGCAGCCGACCCCACAGATATGATAATATGCTATGATGTGTGGCCAAATATCGAACACATATGGGAAAGAATCCCAAAAAAAAGGTGAATGAAAACGAGGAAATTCGCGTGCCGGAAAAACAGCAAAAGGCGAAGGGCAGGCTAAGCCGATTTTGCAATTGTTGCCGCTGTTTTTATGGTCAAGAGTAATTTGTTTTTCCGCAGCCTTTGTTGGCAAACATGCAAAAATATCAGATTACAAAGCGGCAGTTCCTTCAAAGAGTGGGGAAAATGATTGCGGATGCGCTTCCCAAGTCCTGATTCTGCCACAAGGTCTGGCAAATGAGTTTACGCAAATCCAGGAGATGTCTGCCCCTAATCCCAAACTAATCCGATCATATGAGTAGGGAATAGGCAGGATATGCAGACCGAAGTGGACAACAGGAAGAAAGGATCGCATGTCGATTTAGATATCTAAAATGAGCATCGAAAGGTTGAAGGGTTGAGAATAATATCAAATGTCCCATCTGGTATTAGAGATATATAGAAGTGTGCCCCAATAGATTTTATATACATATGTGACCACTCATCACAGCTGAGGCTCTTTTAAAAACTTTTAAGGCCTCAGGTCCTTCCCTACAATACAAAGATCCTCGAAGGATCCCGAACAATTTAAGCCACACTCATTAGACGCAGATAATTCGTGCAAATTTGTCAAATCGGCTTATGATTTGCATTCTATGACGGAATGTTTATGTTACTAATCTAGTCCTGTTTGACAAACAATGCGGCAATATTTATTCTAATGGCGTAGAATAACACACAGCCCATAGACCCGTAGGAGGGTCCCTTCTTATGTCCTTTCTGCGGATCAGACAAGGGACAATCGCAGGCGCATGCGCATGCGCACTTACATGGAGAGGCCCACAAAAACTGGGTCAAGACGGGCGCGGAAGGACTAGTGGCGGGCTTAACGTAATTCCCATTTTTGCGTAGATTGAGGTAAGCGCGGTATGCGGGCTTAGTAGGGCGTCAGCCAGACTGTCCTTTTGCGATCCTTTGTGTTGGAAGACGACGTAAATCAACCGCTTTCATGTGCATTAAAAATTTAAAAAAAGTTAGTTGAGTTATAATATTGCAAGAAGCAAGGAAAATATATGTTTGGTAAACACAATATTTTTCAGCGCTTGAAGTACCGATAAAAAGTGGAAATTTAAAAGAACATTAGTTATATAATCAAAAAATTAGTAAAAGCTTTCTATTAGAGTAAACTAAAATGTAAGAGGTTATAAAATATTACCTAATATGTAACCTTTTTCGAAGGAATGCTGATATATTTTGTTGGGTAATAAAAATAAACCAGATTTTATAGCTTTCCAGATAAAAAAATAACTAAAAGAAAATGTATACTGATTACCATTATTTTTTAAAACTTATTAGTAGCTAATATTAAAGAGAGAGAGAGCACTGGAAATATTTTATAGTTTGGCGGGACATTTAAGTTTCATGAATCCGTTATATTTTTTTAGCCCTTCTTACGGTCTTACTTATAGTTACCGAAATCGGCAACTCTGCCACATGGCGTTGCCAGACGTTCGATAAATCGCTCTATGGACCGTCTATCGATACTTCGAAAACAAGAAAATCGATACCGCCATCGATGTTTCTGCGCCATCTTTCTTTTTCGGGATCCGCACACCAAGTCAAAAGGTACTCGAGAGATTTTTGTCGAAATATAATAGAAAACAACCAAAATAGGGCGTAAATACCCGCGAAATGTGGAAACGGGTGCTGGAGCAGTGTGTTGGGCATAAAGTGCCAGTGGTTAAACGAGTGGAAAGCACTGAAAACAATGTTCGGCTCAGCACACGTGTTCCCCGTGCAAGCCAATATGAATACTAATACTTGTGTGCGGCCTGGTTATTTTGCAGAGCGAATCAACATGCAGCTGTTCGTACGTGGACTAGAGACCATCGAGGCCCTGGAGGTTTCCCAGGATGCCACCATCGCCGGTGTCAAGGTGAGTGAAGCATATACACAATAGTGGAAGATCCTAACCTAGCTGTGCTTCCCACCCGTGTCATGTAGAACCAACTGGCCCAGATCCATGGATTCAGTGCTGAGGAGTTCAACCTCGACTGCGAGGGCATCACTCTGGCCAACGAGACGCCCGTGACCGCTCTCAGCTCCTTCGAGCTGGACCTCAACATTCCCATGCTGGGAGGTAAGGTGCACGGATCTTTGGCTCGTGCCGGCAAGGTCAAGGGCCAGACGCCCAAGGTTGAGAAGCAGGAGAAGAAGAAGAAGAAGACCGGACGCGCCAAGCGCAGGATTCAGTACAACCGCCGTTTCGTCAACGTTGTCCAGGGCTTCGGACGCCGTCGCGGCCCCAACGCCAACTCCACATAGAGAGCTTCGAGATGAACAAGTGGTGTCTACCTTTGTCTACAGATTGATATGATGTTCATAAAGTAATTTCAAACATTAAACCTCCTATGTTAAAAATTTAAAGTGGTCAGTTGGTGAAATCGCTGAAAATGTGTGCTGTTTGTGGAAAATGTTGTTTATACCAACTATAATTTTTAAAGTGATCTTCCGATTAGTACTAGCAGTTATGTATTTCCTACAATCCACGTTATATCGACGTTTTTATTCAGAGCGTGGTCAAATTGTTTACTTGCTTATTATTTTGAGCCCTAGTTCGAGACTGAAAAGTCAGACTTTTTAGTAATCCATTGGAGTGATCCAAATTTATTTATAACATTCGCATTTAAAAGAGTAACGGTTTGACATTTAAGCTTGACCAAAGGCATAGTGAATTGTTTTTACAATTATAAGGATAATTTGTTTATTCCCTGAAAGTTAGGTATCTATGTATTTTTCTAAAAAGTTTAGCGAAAGTGCGTACAAAAAATGTTTGTTTATACACAGTCATACGCTGCAAAATCATGATCTGTTGTAGGTGAATAAGTAAGTTGCACTTAGAGTCGATTGCAAATGGATGTGCAAACTTAAACCCACTATTCTACACATTTGGTAGAGGTCAGTTGGTAAACTCCCTGCGTTTGCGACTGGCGCGAAAACGTCGGTACCAGAACTCGCAGCAGGCTATTAAAAGGGCCCCCGTGAATCCGAGGAGCAGGACTAAAAAGCATCCCTGCATGTCGTCCATGTTTACCTTGTGATTAGTAACTTGCCGCTGCGCGCCCTTCCCGATACACTTGTCTGAGTTGGGCAGGTTCATCTGGTGCCACCTTTCGATGAATCCCATGCGGAACATGCTATTGATGTGCCGGTTTATTAGGTGCAGATAGGCACTTTGAGCTGGCACAATCATAGCTATCTGCTCGTCCACAAAGCTCTCCTTGCCCAAAGCGAAGCGGCACTCCTTGTCCCTCTCGAAGTGCTGCTGCACGATCAGTTGCAGATTGATCCGCCAGTCGATGTTAATTCGGTCACCCCGCTTCACAGCTTCGATGCCCTCTTCCTCGCCACTCCCGTAGATCTTAGCCCTTGTCATGAAGTGCTTAAAATCCTCTCGGGTTGTCGACTGCACGTATCGCTCGAAGAAGGTTCCGTTGCGCAGGCCGTACTGCGAGATGTCCTTGTGCCGCTCCAGCTGACTGAGGTAGTCCACGCCCGGCTGGAACTTGGGGAACGTGAGAAAGGCGACCAAGTTGCCGCAGTAGGTGGTCACCAGCACGATCACCACGATCCACCAGAAACCAACCACCAGGCGGCCACTATCTGCACGCGGCAAGTACATGCCACCTGGAAAATGGGGAGAATTAGAATGGAAGTATGGAATTATTATGGTATTAGGACACTCTTATAATATTAAAAACCGATTTTGTTTCCTTATGATTTACCGTTTTGTATATTTTTTTAAATTATATTAAATTAAATTATAATTTAACTGCATAAAGTACCGATCAAAGTACTCACCCTGTTGAAGCAGAGCCCCAAATATGTACCAAAAGCAGCTTTGCATGGTGGACAGGCCGACAATCTGCATCTCTTTTAGAGGAGCCAGGCGATTGATGGCATACAGCATGGGAGCCGTGAGCAGGATGATGCCCACCAGGCAGAACCAGGTCTCCGTGGTAAACGGAGCTGTGAAGAGATAAATGCGGGACACCTCATCCGGCTTCCGAGTGATGAAGGAGTACTTTTGCACACTGATGGGCAGTGTGTAGTTGAAAGGCTTAAGGTCGGGATCCTCCACGGTGGCTGCCACGGCAGCGATGAAGAACTGGTTGCCCTGCACCATCTCCACCACGCGGTAGGGTATACGAAAGGTCATGGAACCCACCAGTTCGTCCTAAAAAGAAAGTAAAGTGTAAAAACTTACACATATTATCAAATATGATACGATTTTTACGGTTTCATTTGTATTCGTTGACGTGCTAAGTGGGTATTCTTCCCTCCACGAGGTGGCTTCGTGGAGGTAGTAGCTGAAATTCAGGGCACGACTCAGCTCCTTGATGATTTCCATGACGATTCCGGAGTGCTCGACGATGACCCCATGGCTGTTCTTTTTGAGAATTTGCCACGGTGGATTCTACGAGAGATTCGAACCAATAATAAGGATGTTATTCCTGGCTCAAAGACTCACGTGTGCAGTAACAATATCCATGGTTATGTTGCGGAAATGGTGATCGATGTGCGGAAATGCTAGTTCCTGGCAGACGAATCCCAGTAATGGACTCCAGTAGCCAATGTTGACGAACTCAAAGTTTTGGTTTTTTGCATCGCGTGTTGGAGCTGAAGATATCGTGTTCGTGGGTGGGATTGTTGGAGGGGGTGAAATGATGGTCTAACCTGTTCGGAACTTGCGGTTCTCCTGGCTTTTGCCCCAAGTAATGGCTGTTTCGATGCGCCATCTGGCGCAACTGGAGCACTTTGCGTTTTCTTTTAGGAAATCCTAGCAAAAATGAGTTATGAGTTTTTTAAACTGAAATTTGCATCGATTTATATTTATAATTATATGATAAATAAATCCACAACTAAAAAACCCTGAAAAAGGACATACCTTCATGTACTCCAGGATTTCGGCTTGCTTCTCCTGCTTGGTAAAGCGAATGGACTCCCACTCCTCGTCGGAGATCTCGCCGTAAATTGACTCCTCCTCGACTGTCATCTTCGAAATGGAGGTCACCAAAGCGAGACTTATTTCGGAGATGGTGCAATTCAACGTGTCCTGGCAATTGGGCAGGGTTTCATTGAGAGCGAAGGCTATGTTCGCCCCCTCGTCCAAATTTATGGTCACAGCACCGGGGTCAAAGTCCCGACGCATCTTGTCAAGGACAAAGAACATCCACTGGTTGCCCACATGGAACATATTCAGGGTTTCTGCTATTTCAATGATGTCCTCGTGGAAGGCGGAAACCACTAGGAATTGCTGACGCTTCTCTTCGTGTTTGGGAGGAGCAAACTGGGTTAGAGCTTGTCGCAAAGCAGCTCGCTTCTCTTGACCCCGTAAGGAGTCATCGATTTTGTAGAGGATCAGAGAGATTGGAGTGATGTGGTTGGTGGTACTTTCATGTACAATCGATTTGACTAGAAGCGAGTTTTCATCCACTGGTTATGGAAGATCAAACAACGATTATAGTCATTAATAGTTTGCAAAACAAAACAATTTACTTATTTGTCTAAATAAATTTACAGATGGTATGTAATTTTTTATATGCAAATGTCATTTATAATCTGCCAAACGCAAGCAATTGTTTTGGTTTAAGATTACTTTGTAAATGGTATATACCCACATATAGTTTGATCCACAAAAATCACAGCCGTCTTCCAATTGAGAATTTGCTGAACCTTGGCATCAAGAATCACTTGAGGAAACTCATCGCCATGGTCAACTATAGGTACCTACAGATCGAAATTTTAAAATATACCTGGAACCGATGTGTTTCCATACCATTAGAGCACGATTTAAGGGCAATCGAGGACAATCGGAGTCTGTGATGGCAATTAATAGAATTGAAGTTTCTTGGGTATTCTTATAAAATTTCCAAGTGTTTTCGCAATCCGTCACCGTTATAGCAGCCAAGAAATCTGCGGCACTTCAGATAATGACTAACCAATTTTTTCAATTCCAAATCTTACCTTTCTTTAATCGCACTGAGTTCCAGGTGAAATATTTGACATTTATGCCACCGTTCCTCAGATTCTCCCGTATTATGTCGCTCAGGATCTTTTCAAAATGGGACATTACATTTTGGCCATGGATTGTCATGTATTCATGATCCACCACAACCGCTAAATATAAATGGTAAGTTTCTGAGTAGAACCGTGCCAAATCCAAGCTCACCCAGCGATGCGTTGGCACTTAGAAAGGAGGAAAAGTCATTGGCTTCTATTGGAACCACTATACAAAACTGCAGTCCAAAAAGGAGCAGAAGGCAAGCCGATGACCGCATGACGCCAGGATTTCCAGATTGTAACTGAAGAGCGAAACCCACGAAGTCATCGAGGTAACCTCGCTGATAACAAAAACCCAATTAAAGCCAAACCACTGACTTTCCAGTGAGCGTGTGCAGGTCCCATGAAAAATTGATTGGGGAAAAGCGTGGAAAAGCCTGGTGATTGACAGTTTGCGGTTAGGCGCCGACATTCACCCACAATCTCAAATCGCACCCAGGTGTTCATCGAAGGATATCAATTTTTGTTAACTTGTTTTATTTAATTGTAAGTATTTTACGAAATTGTTTGTCAGAATTGCCTGTATGCGTGGTAATTACATTTTACAATCTTATATCTTAGGGCGACTGACGGAAGTTGTATTATTTTGGGGAAAATGGAAGAAATCGGGTTGTTGTGTCTAAGCTAAGAATAATAATTCACTTAGGTTAGATCTACTGGCTAGTTGCGTTGAAAATATCGTCTTAGATTGTGTAAATTGTGTCCGGCTCCTTAGGGTTACGAATTCGCTGATCCTGTCGTCTGGGTTATACGCGCGTCTATATATAATTTAGCTACAATTACGCCTATAGGTCAATTCCCAAAAATGCTTTCAAATATAAATGCAATTCGATTTCGATTTGTTGCAAGTGGTTGTTGTGGTTCCTTTAGTGTATAGTTTATGTATATGATTATTTCGAGTAAGTTACGAAAGGGAGTATAACCTGTATAAATATATATATATATATATATGCCTCGTGTACATATGTTTCTCATATGCTGATCGGATCTTTATTAATATCTGGTTCCACTCGACGCCTGGTGCAATTTTTTATTGGTGGCTTCGGTACTCTGAACTCTTAAAGTTTCTGGAAACTGATCCCGAAAAGTGTCGAGTTTTGAGCATTGGGGTATCGAAAATTGGCTATCTCGTCTATTGCTCTTGATATATGCTCCACCGGATTGCATGCTCCCGCCTCTGCCAGCATTTTTGATTGACTTCCCGAGACTTCCCGGCTGACTAGACCCATTCGTCCCGGGTTTACGACTTTTCTCATTCGTTCAGTATGGCGCTCAGGCGCTCCTCCACGGCAACTTTGCGTGACTTCCACACAAACTCGCAGACGGCTATGACACAGGCCACGCCCATGCCGCCCATCAGGACCACGAACACGCCGCCCACGTTGGCCAGTCCCAGTTCGTTGGCCGCCGACGATGACTTGGAGGTCTCCACGCGGCACTTGCCGCCGCCGCGCTTCTCCTTCCACCACTTCGTTTTCAGGATGTGCAGCTTGCCCTCCTCCTGCAGCTTAAGTATCACGCTGTTGATGGCGGTGCGGTACGGCGAATCTGGAAGAGTAAGAGTTAAAAAGTTGATGGTCAGAACAGAGCTTGAACTTAAAATTTAACCATTGAACAAATAAATCCATCAATAAATATAAGAGTGTTCCGAAGAAGCTTTGACAAAACTATGCATTTTAGTGTATTAATGGTAACTTTAGTTAATTTAATTATTGAAAATGGACTGCCTCTGAATCATTTACAATCTGCTTAAGAGCTACTTACTGGGTGGAGTTGCTATGCCATAACTTTTGGTGTCCAACATGCCACCAACTTGCGTCAGTTCGCAGTTGCGTTCGGTCACGTACTCAATGGATGTGGACTCCATTAAAAAGGCATAAGATCCTGGAAAATAAAATTTAAATAAATAGTTCCAGTTTAAGATCAGCTGACTTACCTTTTCCCTTGGCCACCCGATCCACGCCTTCGCCATTGCTGGCTGTGAAAACTGAGGGACGAGCTGACTCCATGAAGGACCACATCCGCTGATATGTGGAGATCTTTGAGTCCTGCGAGGCAAACATTATTTAGAAAATTAGAAATATAACTTCATTATTTGGTATGAAATCTAGGACTCACCCTGAAGAATGCCGCCGTGCTGCCGCCTTTTAAGGCCCCGTATTTGATCCTCGTCTGCTTGGCCAGATCCTCGGCACTTTCGATGGGCGAGTCCATCCGCTCAACCGTCAAAAAGGCAGCCAAGTTGGCGGTGTACGAGGAGATCATGATCAGAGTGAAGAACCACCAAATACCGGCCACCATGCGAGTGGATAGAGCCCTAAAAAAATACGTTTTAAAAGTGCCTCAAGCAATGGATGTCAGTTAGTTACTTTGGCAGAAAGTCGCATCCTTGCTGCATCAGCGATCCAATGGCAAACCACATGCAATTCAGCAGTGTGAACTGGCTCTCAACCTTCTCGCCGTGGGCATCCGTGTAGGCAGGCCATTCATAAGGAGTAAATCTGTAAAAAAGCAATAATTAGAAAGGAGTAAAATATAATATAAAATCAGTAAGTAAAACCAACTTGGCCAGGATGAAGAGCAGCACAGAGACTCCCAAATAGGCGGTTGCCATGTAGATCCACACGTCCAAGGACAAAGGAGACAGGAAGGAGAACAAGTTGGGTGGCTGCTTAATGGGCTTCCGGTACAGAATAGAAACTCCCAGGTTCATAAAGGGAGTGGTGAAGTCCACTGCCTGTTCTCGCTCGAAGGTGATGGTCAGATCCGCAATGGCCAAATCAGCACGCTGCTCCAACAATTCCCGAATCATGCCGTTCCATTCACTAAAAGAGTATTGGTTGGTAAATTTATTGATTTCTTTACTTATTTTTCTAATTAGTGTAGTGGCTCCTTAAAGATTGGTTTAAACTTTAAGAGGTTTACGTATATAAAATACTTTAACCTTACCCCGTCAACTTGTTGAGACTTCCATAGCTTCCGTCCGGCACTAGTTGAATTTTGTAGTTGAAGCCCAGCGACTTAGATATTTCATGGATGAGATCGACAGCATAGCCCTCAAACTGATCGTTGCCACTCAATGGAATAGCCGACTCCTTTCGCATGCAGTATGGATTACTCTACATCGATAAAATGAATTAATAAATACTTATAAAATTATATTGCATATACTGTAACCTCACCAAAATTGTAGTGACCACCAGCGTTTTGTTCTTCAAGTTGGCTTCGATCTCTTGCTGCTTTTGGCTGAAGGTGCGCGTAAAGTTGATGCCATCGGGCAAAGTGGAGTTCCAGGTGCCTATTTTTCGGATCCCCGCTGGCGTTAGCTCCACGATGTCCAGCATGAAGTCGGTGCGGAAGCCCTGGTGATCGAACTTGATCACATTGGTCAGGCCCTTCATTTCGACGATCTTCATGTAGTTGATCAGACTGAAGCCGTGCTGCCAGGTGCTCTGTCCATCGCAGCTGATCGGATGGATGTCGATTTGCTGCGAGGTGTCCAGGTCGTGGAGAGCCTTCGCAAACAGATGCACCGCATCGTACATGAGTGCCGTTTCCGAGCGCACGGTGGTCAGGTTGGCGGAGCGGAGCATTCCCTTCTCGTCGATGCTCCACTGGCGCACCACATCCGAGACGATCTTGTCGTTGATCAGCCGGAACCCGGTGATGTTGGTGCCCCCGTAGCGGAACTCATCCAGGTTCACCGTGTGCAGGTCCAGCGAGGTCACCAGGTAGCTGTGGTAGTCACTCATCATCCCGATCTGCTGCGCCTGCTTCAGCACCTCGTGGATCCGCTCCGTGGAGCAGTCGAGCACGATGTGCGCCTCCGCCGAGTTCTTGATCTGCTTCAGCAGGGGTCTGGAATAGGGAATTTTAATTACAGCGGAATAATCAAAAGCATTAGAGGTTTGCAGATACTGTTTTTGACCATCAAATACCAAAATTGCACTTGCTACACATATCATATTATGTAAAACTTAAGCTGTATAACGAATACAGGAATACATTTTCTTTTGAGTAGGAAAAGTTTAGGCAAATTTAAAATTTATATGCAGAGTTGAATTAAGTCTAATTGCCAAAAGTTAAGCTTCACAACATGAAGTAGGTCTAATATTCATTAAATGAACTTTCAAACTAAAAGTTTTCATAAGTCTAACTATATTTATTGGCAGTACAAAGTTTAAATACAGGGGTATTTAACTATATAATTCCAAGTCGAACTGGTTTTGTTGTCATAGATAAATAAAAGTGGATTGCCCAAAAATCTACTCTGAAAATATTGGTCTTAGTGTGCTGCCAAATGAAATGGTTTAAAAAAGCGACAATACTTCAATTTCAAATTGAGCCACAAAGGGCACTATCAGTACTATGAGCATAGGTGGCATAGGTGGCATATGTGGGCCAAAGAGAAGTAATCCCCAAAAAGTGGGAATCGGGGGAAACGATTAGGGCGGGACTTACCGGTAATCCCCGCTGTCGCTCAACTGGCGCACCGTGATGGGAAAGGGCGTCATTCCGTGGGCTTTGAGCAGCTCCTGCAGCCGCACGATGCCGTCATTGTTCTCGTAGATAATGGTGAAAGTCTTCCAGCCCCAATGTCGCACTATATCCACGTAAGCCTGAGAGCAAGCAGCAAGCGAAAAAAGGGAACATCAACAATGCAGTAATTGAGGGAAAATAAATGCATTTACGTACCTTGGAAAGCGTATTAGGATGCGGATAAAGATTCACCAGGCAGCTTTCCCGTCTCAGCCGATAGTCCCAGCGATTCTCCAAGTGGGGGATCTGAAACGAGTGCGTTATTCAATGGGGTTTATGGAAGGGGAAGAGTCTGCTTGTCTCCTCTGAAGTACTCACCTCCATGTTGTCGCAAATACTCTGCACATGGCTGGCGGTGTGGGAGGATTGTGGCCCGAAAATGGCTGCAACACCGATGTTCAGTAAGCCACAAACTGCAAGACAAACAAAGCAATTGAGGTTTATGCCCAACTTATTTGTTGCTCTTTGACGAACTCGGTTTTCCCCTAACGTATTTTCGAAAAAACCAAACCCAAGCGCTGTAAAATATCGACGGGGTTCAGTATCGCAAGGAGGAACTTTTGACATTCTTGCCTTATGGCAAATTGAGTGAAACACAAATCCCAAAGAGCTTCAGAGTCGCAAATTGATTTTCGAGCAACGTGCTTGGATTTCACATTCCCAATCCCAGACCCACTCCCAATCCCAATCCAATCTGCTTGTGGGGGAGATAATCTGGAACCCACACGGCTTGAAAGGCTCAAAAAAAAAAAGTAAAAACGGATCCAAGTAGCGCAGTAATGTGCTTGGCTTTCGGCTCGGTAATGTTCAGTTAGCCTCGTTCACATATTTAAAATGCACTTCAGTATGACATAATTTCGTTTTGCCCGTTTGGCCTTTCCTTTTATCCTTCCCCCTTGCAGGATTTCCCCCTTCTGTCGGCAGAAGTCAGCATCCTTTGGCTCATCAAATGCGCTAAGCACGTGTAAGTGCATGTGCACCTGCACTTCGATGTCCTGGCTCGTTGATGCGGTTAACCTGCTCTCAGGACTCTCAGGAGGACTCTGAGGATGGAGGCTCCTGTCTGCCCGACTGCCTCGTTACTGTCGTGCTGAAGTGTGGTTCACTCTGGCCAGGTATTTTCCTTTTTTCCCTCTTTTTCGGTTGTGTGCACTGGCCAACTTTGGCGTCATTTGTGTCTCATTTATCACAGGATATTCGACAGTTGGCTCACGTCCCTGTGTCCGCTTTACGATTCATCGTCAGCTCTTAACGATTATCAAGTGCCGGAGAAGTTTCGCCTGCCACCCGATACCCACAATAAACTTAAAATTGCTGAGTGAAAACTGGCCAGGTCCTCGCATCTGGATATTTATCTGGAATATTTTCACAGGCTCTGATATTGTAGCTTGATTTCCTCAATTTTCGTGCAACTTGGTTTTAAACTAACAAAAGTCACGTTGGTTTGGCTGGTGCTAAGCCCCGGGACATTTTGTTTCCGGTTCTCACGGTCCAATTGAAGTAAGTTTAATTAACTTTTGGGAAATGTGTGTGAACCTAGCGTCGTTTTGCGTATAGGTTGTGCTGGTACTAACTACTCGGATAAGACCGTCTCTTAAATCAGGTTTATATTTCGAAGGTATCTAGGTTCTAGGTTCTAGGTTAGTGGCTCAACATCGGTTCAGTCGATTTTTCCAACCTAAATTATTTCCACCTTCGGTTCTAATTCACAACTTAAATAATCTAGTATTTAGGGTAATTGCTTTTGATATATATGTAAATAAAAGACAAAAAACGCATTTTCATGATTAGATCTACTGGTCTTATGTTCCTGATCTAAAATATATTTTCATGATAGGGTCTAATTCTAAGAATAATAATAAGCATTTCACATATGAACAACCCATAAAGGTAGTTGATCTGCTAACTCTTACTTTTTAAAAAGTTACTTTACATATGGAACATTATTTTTATATATGTATAATTTTAAAATTAATGCGATTGGAACAAGTAAAAAAATTTCTAAAGGTAAAGCTGTTAATCAAAAATCATTAGTGAATATTTTTAGTGTTTCAAAAAAAAAAAACAATATTGTATGAAAGCTTGAATAGCGCATGGATTGCTGCCAAATTGCATTTGTTGCCAAATCAGAGCATGAAAGGAACCGACGCCCCCAGGTATCAATTAGCATACCATAAATCGCAGATCAAATGCAGAGCAGACAAAAGGGTAAATCAGGCACAAACTAAAATAGAAACAAAGAGCCGTGGATGCGAGAATGACAAGTGAGTTACCGAATAGCAAGTGAATAAAGTGAGGGAGCAACTGCCAGTTTTACATATGTCCAAATCAAATATGCTGGCAAAAGCATCAGGTGAAGGTGAAGTTTACTTTTGGGGGGGAAACAGGCAACAGGGTGTCAGCAGGGCAAGAAATCAGGCCAAGTCAACACCCGGAGTACTCACCCCTTTTCCCGGCATGGAAGCTGTCGAAGGGCGAGATGCGCTCGATTTGGGCCACCAGTTTGGAGCGCGGCAGGATGGATCGGTCGGCGTTTATGCGGTCCACCGCCTGGCGGAAGGCCAACTCCTGGTGATCATCGGAGGGATGGAAGAGCCCACCTGGTGGTTACAAATTCCAGTCAGTTAACTTACAAAAAATATATAAAATTCATTGGTTAACCTCCCGCTGTTCTTGAATAAAAACAAACAACACACACACACACACACAACTGTCCGTGTCAAATACACAAACCCACACTGTGACAGGCGCTCTTGATTATGACGTGTAAAAAATCGATACGTAACGTAGATGCGAGCTGAATTTTGTTTTCATCTCCTCAACTGGCGGAAGCTGACTCGAATTTCAGTCTATACTTTATCATAATTATAGCTTTCACTCACCAATCTTGATGATATCGGGCAATGCTTGAGCTTCTCGGCAGTTGTGGATTAATTGCAGGAGCAGCAGCGGCAGGACCAAAAGTTTCCTTCTTGACCGCATCATAAAATCGCTCGAAATTTTAGTTTCCGGTTGCTCAAAATTGCCTTTTCGTATTTTTATCACTTGTCACTCGGCCAATTTTTGTTTCTTAGCACATAATTAAGTTTTTCACTTTGCGGCAACTCATCAGTGTGTTTTGCTTATCTTTCCGAGGTTTGTGTTTATTTACTTGGAAATTCCGGTCAACCGCTTTCTGTGAGGATGTGACATCCACTGAGCTGCGGGTGTTTCACTTGCCTTCTTTTATCCTGTTGCGGAATTGGCCCACGAGGTTGGGGTGGCTGTGGGTGGTTTTGGGGTGGCCCAGCATCCAAAAGCCGGCTGACATTTCGAACAGCTGCGCACTGGATGCTGGCAGAGAAAATCCATAGGGTTGCCATCCTTACCCAGATGAGCTTTTTGGTTTGAAGGTCGTGTTGGTAGGGAAACATGGTAATATTCCATTAGGTTAACTGCTTTGCCGACGATTCTGCTTCGTAAGCTTTGTGGGTAATTGTTTCTTTGAAATAGGTTTAACAAAAAGGGACTGATTCAAACATTTTTGGTTACCCAATTTCAAGTGTAAATAATACTCAAATTAATTAAAGGAGTACTGGTACTGGTAAAGAAATTTAGAGTAGATTTTAAAGTTCGGAATATGCGTAAGTCTGACCGTTAAAGAATTTAGAAAACTTGGTTTTGAGAAAGATTTATTTAATAATTATTAGTTACTAGAGGGCCTGTGTCCGCTTCGCTGGTCAACACAATTTAACAACATAAAAGTCAATGTTGCAACATTTTTCAAATATATGGAAGTATAGAAAGATGGTTATTTAACACTTTTCCAGTTTGACTTCTCCACTTGCGCAGCGCAATCCAGCCGTTTCTCTTTTAAACTTTAACGCACTGCAATATCGGTATATAGTCGCCATTGGTCCAATATCTAAATTTTCATTATCACTGAAGTTCGCAGTGGGGTCATATTGGAATGCCAAGCGATTGAATGATGCCAATAATCTCCATGTGCTCATTTGTCTTTCTTCGCATAAGTTTTGTGAATATACTTGTTGCTGGCTTGGATGTCTGCGGCCAATGTTTGCACGTCGTCCTCTAAGCATTTTGGACTATGGACAGAGTGGTGAATTTATCCTCAAATGCACGATCCACATAATTTTCATAGATCAACTTAAATTGAATAAAAATTCTTTTTTTTTTTTTACAATTTCACAGTGAACACAAAAATTGAGTTAAAATGCTATGGGAGCGTGATTGTCAGTGTGATGAGGTAGCAATTCACTTTATATGCGACAATATTGCAATTTTCTTACGGATCCCTAATTTTTTTCAAAATAAATTATAGCCTATTTAACTCCACGATAATATAGCTTTCTATCGGTGAAAGAATTTTTTAGATCGGACCAGTAGTTCAGGAGCCTATTCCCTGCAAACAAACAAACAAACAAACAAACAAACAAACAAACAAACAAATTTTACCTCTTTATAATATTAGTATAGATTAAAGTATGTATATACTTATCGTTTTTCTCTTTTTTTCAACAATTTTTTTGCATTGCGTTAGTTGTACTGTTTTATGTGAGCTCAAACACTTTGATGCCAACGAATCGCGAGATCCATTGAGAATTTTCACTTCGAGTGGTGGCGTGCTGCTGGAAATGCTGAAAACCTCCGTTCTTAATCACAGAACAGAACCGCACCCCCGGAAAGGACCTTTAACATGGCGTAGAGGAAAAGGCTTAAACGGCACAAAGGAAGCAGCCAGCGGAACAGCGGCGAACGAGGGGCATAAATAAAACAGAGAGCTCATTATGCCGTTGACCGCGTTGAGCTTTAAGCGCAAGGATAATGCAAAGCGGCAGTGATGGGGAAATGCATGCGAATGGCGACTTGAATTGCAGGCGCGTAATGTGAGAGTATTAACAATTTACCAAACAATGGCAAAGAGCCATTAATAACACACAACAACATCTCTGCCGTTTAATACACCCACAATCACACAGACACACATTTGTTGTGATTGTGTGTGTGGCCATAAATACAGAATTTCGTTGCGGGAAATTCGTAGAGACTCGCGCGAAATATCATCAAGCTCTGTGGCCTGAAATAAGTTGGTTCAGTCAGATGCGCCAACTCCTTTTTCACCGGAAAAAAATATTTTAAAAAATTGCTTTAAGGACCTTTCACAAAAGAACTGGAACTCCCAGTTTATCTCAAATACAATATTAGATTTTAAAGCTTAGAATGAATGAAATAAAATAATTAAGAACTTTTTTATAATGGAATACTTTCTTAAAACCCTGCTAACCTCATTTTATTAATTTAAAACCAAAAAAGGTTACCCAATAATAATATAATATACATGTATATGTACTTATAATAACAGTGTAGTACATCATTGTCATCTTTTAAAGACAATATCGATGTGACTTTTAAGGGTAAGTATTTGTATGTTGAGTAAATGTTTTTCTTTCGGTGTGATCATGTGTGTCTAAGGACTTCTCTCTCTGTGTATCTGCACTTGTGTCAGTATCTGTATCTGCTCCCGTGTCTCTGTGTGTAATCATGCATATCTTTGCCAGTGGGTTTTCGGTTAGTGCCTTATTTACATTGGCCGGAAGCTGCTGGTTGTGCTTGTTTCCGCTTTTGTCTGCGCGACTTCATCACCATCCATCTCCCCTCTCACTCTGTTCTAGCAGACATCTCTCTCGCACCTTTCGTGCTCCCTTCACTGTGGCAAAGAAGTGGAGCAATGGTCTGGCTCATTAATTTCAACATAACGCGCACATGGCCAACAAATTTTCCCACGTACGCACACCCATAAATTGCACATACACACACAAAAACACACACTCGCATACACATAGTTGGCTCTTTGCTTTCAGCGGTAATTATTTCAAATTAAATGGCGAAAGCACTTTTCAAGCAGGTGCTCCCGAAAGTATGCAGCACATTATTAGCATACGTTAGTGGGGCCTGTACGGGCAAACTTTAATAAGTCGAACAGCATGCTGCAATCAAACTTGCTAAATTACTTTAAAACCAAAAAAAAAAATTCTCAGGATAAGACATCAGATTTTCAATGTTCGAAATCACTTATTTTTGTTCCAATTATCTATATAATTGATTAAATTGACTATATCCTTCAGAGACCAAAAACTTAAAATAATGTAAGAGTTTCCTAAAAATTATTCTTTAAATTTGAATTGAAGTTAAGTTTGTATGTTTAAAAAAAAAAAAGAAAATTATTGATAAAGAAACGTTTATTTTTGAACTAAATCTAATACATTTTATAGTAAATTATAATTAATTCAAGTTATAGAGACCGAACGGTTTGTGTGCTTCCGACATCCTTTGTGTGCGTGACTCCTCTATTTCAGTTCTCTCTCAAGCATGATAGTGCACTTTGATTTCGCTTTGTGGCAGACTCAGCCGAGTTGGATAAAGTTGAAGAGGGCATCTGACTTCTGGACTTTCTTCTCGCCCTCCGACTGTCTGCCTGTCTGTCAGTCGTCTGGCCTCCATCAATTTGGCCTCCGGGCCGCTTTTATTATCCCAATGCGTAGGGAAATGCTGACAAGGCTTGCTTGTCATGTCTGACTCTTAGGCCAAATAATTTTAATAATGCAAAGTAAGATATACACATGTGAAGGTTGTGCCCGGAGCCAAGGCATTCCAGGGTCAAGAGGACCTCGAAAATATTTTCGCATTGTGCATGAATGTAAATACATTTTCGGGGCAGTTAGTCATCCGCTTTCCTCTGAGTTTTGGTGGAGATGAAAGCGAAATACCAAAGGGAAAACGGTGAAGTGGGAAAATGTTGCCGTTGGTCAAGCACATGCAATGCATTTTCCGTGCCGAGCTTATTTAAAGGAATGTAAATAACCAGCTTTACGTACTGATACGTAGTTTCACATTGTATTTTCCCTATTTCACAAAAGGAATTTCGGTTAACATACCTTTTTTCCGTTTTTTCTTTGTTGTTCATTTTTTGCGAGTACCTACTTTTTTGATAAAACGGAAAGCTTTGTCAACCAACTTTGCACTTGGGCAGATCACAAAAACATACTTATTTCATTTTCTCATAACAGAAACAAATATTTTTTAAGCACATAAAAGATCTTTTGTGCATTTTGTAAATTATTAATTGTTACATGCTTAAGGCAATGCATAAATCCACAGAATTTTACATAACGTGCAACTGAACTGGTTGAAGTTGTTAAAATTTGATACAAAAAACTTGAGTAAATGCTTTTAGCTCTGAATAGCAAATAACCTTTTGGAAGTAAAATGAATATTTTATTCTCTGCCTGAAGCTTAAATTCGCTTGATAACTAAGTATAGTTGACATTAGTTTTTGTGAGGATGCTTCAACGGAACACTAGTCAATTAAAAGGCGCACAAAACCCACTCAAACAGTTTTTTATGGAGGCGACCCCCTCGTTTTTATCCTGCACTTTATTTTTAGAACACCGAGGACACTTTATAGTTTTTTCGAGCATTCGACAGGCATGTTGTCGCATGCCTGATACCAAGGACGAGTGGCATGCCGGAGTAGGAGTGGCATATGCAACAAATTTGTAAGGACGCTATTTAATTCCACGTCAGCTGCTTGGATGTCTGCACTGAATGAATGGCTGAAGCCCTCGAGGCCACGCCCCCAAATCCTTAGTTCGAAGGCGTTTTGCCAGAGGACTCATACTTTCACTTCGGCCCGCTTTTATAGGCGCCTCGAAATCCACTTTGTAAGCCATTCCATTGGTAATAAAGGCGAGAGTGAGTGCCGCTAATATAAAATTGAATTTAAATAAATGGAGTTGGGGCCGTAAAAGCCGAAAAGCACCGCGCTTCGATTCTGATTTGATTTGTTTGGCGACGCACGCCCAGCACTTAGGCGCCATTTGATATGCAACAATCTTTGGCGCCAGCCGAAAATCGCTAAATCGAACAGCGGAAAGGAAAGAAAGTGAGGGAAAGTGAGGGAAAGGCGGAACATAATCATCAGCATCATCATTTTCTCCCGAGCTCCCGAGTTTTGGAGTGCGGGAGTTCCGCTCTGTAATAAATCTTGTGAGAATAAATGTAGCCCGAAATCGTGTTAATTTATTCATGCCACGTGCGTTGGCTGTTCCAATGTTCGAATGACGGGGGTGCTGGTGGCAGGCATTGATTAAAAATGCAAAGGACTGCACTGCTCAAACCCTTGATCCTTTGAAGCCGACACCTAAGCACATGCAATGGCTCTGTCTTTTCTCCGAATGTGGCCACATTATGCAAATGCTGTTGACACAAATTCACTGGCTGAACTTGAACCTGCCGTTGCTGTTGCCGCTTTCATTAATTAGTCGACAGCCTGTTAGCCAGCTAATTAAAGAGCCGGCCTACAAATTGGCAGCTTGTGTGTGCCATGTGGGATAGATTTAGGCAATTAGCACTCGTAGCAGTACCTTTGCCATCCCTTCCAAGTCGGCGGGGAGTGGAATTCAACCCGTTCAACCACCCAAAATCCAACCCACCAACCCGGAAATTTTAAACGGGCCAACGGCTTCGTCTAGCGGCAAGATTGTCCTTCTCATCGCGTACCTGCACAAAACATCTGGCTGCGTGTCCTTGTTCGCCTGTCTCCTGTCTCATGTCTCCTGATTGCGTAATTCCAGCTCACAAGTGCCGACAACGGCTGAGAGTCTATTAAAAATGTATTATCAGCGTGATTGCCACCAGATCCTGCTGAAGTGTCGACCTTGTTCCAAGCAAATCCCGTTCGTATCCAAGCGCAGTTGTCTGAGTTTAAATGTTTCAATTAGCCCTGGCGGCACTAAAAATAAATAGTTCGACTCCCCGCTCACCAGATTCTATATCCATGTGGGAAAGCTTCTGTAGAACCTCGTTCTTTGTTAAATACATGTATGAAAGAGTGTAAGTAAAATTTTAAAGAAATTGCTATTCATTCACTACAGTGGAATGCACTTTTTTCTGTTCAACATTTTGGCAGGATGTCCACGTAAGCTTTGGAAATTCATGGAATATAAAAACAGAACACTTTGATTCACCGAGACTTTGCGTAATGTGTGCTACTTCCTCCAGAATGTCTTGTCATTTAAGTTTAGTCTTATCAACATCCGCTCTTTTTGGTTATTCTTCTTTGTCATAGGAACTGATAATAATCTAAAGATTGGTAGGTCAAAATTCAACTTGCCAATACATGAAATTTAACATTAAGAATTACTCATCAAAGATGGCTCTTGCTGGGTTATAAATTCCAGGCCCTCGGCAGTAGAGCTATCATTTCGGTTTGGTACAGTATTCCATCAAGACCCTCTACAATGAATTCCTCAATTTCTTTGATGTAAGTAGTACTGTCGTTTTATAATTATTTAGAATATGTTGTTCATTGTTACTTTTGTCACAGCTGCTTTGCGCTGCTCCTGGTTAGTCCTTTGTGCTTCGGGTACAGTGACCAACAACGGGAGGCCGATAGACTTAAAGTTGAGGAAATCATGCGCACTTCTCTGGACGCCGAAACCAAAATCAGTAGGACCGAGGACTTGCTGGATATTTATTACCGCTTGGCTCCCAGCTTGTCGCCTGCGGAAAGGCAGAAAATTGACTCCTTTATTATGGATCACGCCGATGTTATATCAATCGACGAAGTTCCCAGTCAAGGCGGTCTAAAGACCAAGATCGGTAAGAAGATCCTGTATGGAGCTGGAGAGGCCGCGGCAACTGGGTTCTTCGAAGAACTAGGGGGCTTTGTGGCTAACTTATTCAAAAGTTGGTTTGGCTAAACAAAATTGTTTTCTTGTTTGAATTGTTCAAAGTTTTCCACCGATGATACCAAAAAATAAACTGTATTCGAAGAGATTAAACACTCTATTCATATTTCTTAAATAACCTTTATAACTGGAGAAAGTAAGTATTTATATTTCGTTATCTTTCAACTGTATGTGGCTTTATTCAAACTGGACACTAAGAAGTCTATATCTTCCCAAAATAAAATAAAAACTATTTGGGCTTTATGTCATAACGCTGCCGCAATGACCAAACCAGAATGTAGGTATAATTATTTTAAAGTAATAATAATAATAATTTGGGGTTTGAACCCCAAAACCCAAAACCTTTTTCACCTTAATGGCTATACATTTTAAAAAACATATTGATCAAGACCCGCTTCATTCATTATGAGTTGCCATCATTCGCAACAGCCTATTTACCAACCTCAAAGGAAGACGGCTGTACAACGCTATGATAACCCCAAGAAACAATCTTGACCTTATTTCTCCAGGTAAGCCTACATATTGGCCAACAGATCCTTATAAGAAGCCTGACCTGATGGATTTTGCCGTCACAAGAAGAGTGCCTAGAGGTCAAGTTCATGTGGAACACTTAACAGATCTTTTATCGGATCACTCGCCCATTTTAATTTTTCTCTACGACCATCCGCAGCTTTCAAAACGAACACATCTTCTAACTTCCAGTAAAACAGATTGGTGGCTTCCCAAACATGTACCAAAAAGAAGAGATCGCCTTTACACGCACAGGAACAGGAAGTATGGCTCCGAGCTATCGGGGAGCGCATGCGTTAATAACCTAGAAGTGATCCAGAGAGCCCCATCAATCAATCAATGAAAACATTCACAGAGATTTAAAAGTGGGATCTGTTAAAGAGGAGATCGACGAAGTAGAAGTAAAGTATACGATCGTGCTACAGGCTCATCCAAATAGGCTGGCGCGGTATTTAACGGGGAGCACTAGCCACACACGACTCCGGCGGAGAGATCTCCCCACCCAGCAACAATAGCTGGGACCGTTATTCCAAAAAAACTTAATTTTAATTAGTTAATTATATGTATTAGGCTAAGATTTGAATACCTGCCGTTAGTCTCGTTGAGGGAAGGTTTGATTAATAAATACTGTTAAAAAAAAGTGTATTATATCTCTGATAGGTCTACATTTTTTTTGTATTAATTTTGGATTAAACACGAAACTTTTTTAATCTTTCCAGTTAAAATGATTATTAACGTACGCATGTCAATTGAACTTATTCTTTTATATAAATTGTAACGTAACGAAACGTAACGTAAGCTTTAGAAATTAATGGAATATAAAAATAGAACATTTTGATTCATCGAGACTTTGTGCTACTTCCTCCAGAATGTCTTGTCATTTAAGTTTAGCCTTATCAACATCCGCTCTTTTTGGTTATTCTTCTTTGTCATAGGAATTGATAATAATCTAAAGATTGGTAGGTCAAAATTCAACTTGCCAATACATGAAATTTAGCATTAAGAATTACTTATCAAAGACGGCTCTTGCTGGGTTATAAATTCCGGGCTCTCGGCAATAGAGTTATCATTTCGGTTTGGTCCAGTGTTCCATCAAGACCCACTACAATGAATTCCTCAATTTCTTTGATGTAAGTAGTACTGCCGTTTTATAATTATTTAGAATATGCTGTTAATTTTTACTTCTGTCACAGCTGCTTTGCGCTGCTCCTGGTTAGTCCTTTGTGCTTCGGGTACAGTGACCAACAACGGGAGGCCGATAGACTTAAAGTTGAGGAAATCATGCGCACTTCTCGGGACGCCTAAACCAAAATCCATAGTACCCAGGATTTGCCGGATATTTATTACCGCTTGGCTCCCTGCTTGTCTCCTGAAGAATGGGAGAAAATCAACGATTTTGTTAATATGAACACCGACACTATATCATTCGACGAAGTTCCGATGCAAGGCGGAGGGATCCCTGAACCTGTACGGTACATGGCAACTGGATTCTTCGAAGAACTTGGAAGCCTGATTGCTGAAGCAATCTCTAGTTGCTTTGGCTAAACAAATTTGTTCATTTGTTTGAATTGTTTGAATGTTGAATTGTTATTGAACAAACAGAATACAATGCTCTGACTTTTTAATAACCGTTTATAACTGGAGAAACTAAGGATTTTTATTTTGTTAACTTTCAAATGTATGTGGCTTTATTCAAACTGTATTTATGGATGAAGACTCAGTTAAGTACGTTGCTTTTACAACCCCGTTAGGACAGTATGAATGGCTCAAAATGCCGTTTGGGCCAAGAAATGCTCCAGCAGTGTTTCAAAGATTTGTGAATAAAGTGTTTGCAGATATGATAAAGTCGGGAGAACTATTGGTGTACATGGAATATATCTTAATAGCAACAGAGAGCAGTACCAGACATATGAAAATATTAGAGGAGGTGTTTAAAAGATTGGTAGCGAAGAATTTGGAGTTGAGGCTAGATAAAAGATAGAGAGTTTAAATTTTGGATTAGAAGAACTTGAGTGCTTTGAATTATTAAAGAAGAATCTTTTAGAAGGTCCAGGCTTTGCCTTATATAACCCTGCTGACGAGACTGAATTGCACTGTGATGCTAGCTGCTTAGGATTTAGAGCAATTTTGCTGCAACGGAAAGCTAATGGAAAGTTACATCCGGTCTTTAATTTTTCAAAACGAACGACAGAAGCTGAGTTCATGTACGAGAGTTTTAAGCTAGAGATGTTGGCTACAGCATTGCAACGTTTTAGAATATATCTTAAAGGTATACATTTTAAGCTAGTAACAGATTGCAATGCATTAACATTGGCTTTAAATAAAAAAATATGAAGTCCAGCAATTGATAGATGGGTCCTTACTCTACAGAACTACGATTATATTCCAGAACACAGACCAGGGAAGAGGATGCAGCATGTAGATGCAGTAAGCAGGTGTGTAGAGGGATTAGCCACAGATACTAACACTTTTGAAGAAAATTTAATAATTTGTCAAAGTAAAGATTAAAAAAAAAAAAATTAGAGATAGTTTGCAACAGTCTGAGCAAAAACATTTTGAAATGAGAAATGGAGTAATTTATTGGATGATAGATAATGGTAGCTTCTTATTGACTGTACCGGAGGAAATGGAAGGACATGTACTGTACAAATATCATGATGAATTAGGACATATTGGAGTAAATAAAATGATCGAAATAATATTGAAAAGTTATTGGTTTTCTCACATGAAAAATAAAGCTAAACGTCATGTGGACAACTGTCTTAAATGTATTGCATACTCAGCAAAGATTGCAAAGGAAGAGGGTTTCTTAAATAATATACCAAAAGAGACTAAGCTTTTTGAAGTAGTCCATGCTGATCATTATGGTCCTGTAGACAAGGGTATACCTAACAAGCATATTTTTGTGGTGATCGAAGGTTTCACGAAGTTTGTCCTTTTTGTGTCCAACCAAAACAACAAGTACAAAAGAGGTGATTATAGCACTGGAAGATTATTTTAGGGCATATAGTAGACCAAAGTGCATTGTGATTTTGAAAAGTTTCTAGAACAAAATGAAGTCAAACATGTTAAAATTGCCTCAGGATCTCTTCAAGCAAATGGTCAAATGGAGAGAGTAAATCGTATATTGGGGCCAATGATCGCAAAACTAGTAAATTCAGAGAAAGGGTTACATCGAGATATGGTATTAGAACATGTAGAGTATGCACTTAATAATACAGTTCAAAGGTCAATAAAACAGCACCCAAGCAAAATGTTATTGGGAGCAACGCAAAGAGGTAAAGAAATAGACAAATTAAAAGAGAAATTAAAAGAACTGTATGGAGTAACAGAAGATGGAAATGGTGCGCTAGAGCACACCAAGACAAATTACAAGAATATAATAAAAAAGTTGTGGAGGAAAAGTGAAAAGAACCACATAAGTATGAAGAAGGAGATTTAGTGATGATTAAAAACTTTGACAATATTGTAGGTATATGTAAAAAACTTGTACCAAAATATAAGGGGCCATATAAAGTAAGTAAGATTTTGAAACATGATAGAAGATTTTGAAACATTAGAAGACATAGACAATTTCCAACAGTTAAGGATACTATATAAAGGAGTGTGGTCAGTGGCCAAAATGAAGCCATGTTTAAGGACAGAGACACATGAAGAAGATGATGTTAGAGTTTAGAAGCACTCCAGTCAGGATATGCCGAGTTATAGCAGATAAATAGTATACATATATGTACATACAAATAGATATTATATAAGTACCTATACATCACACATTTGTAAATACACACAATATAATTATCTATAAGCATAGGAACTAAATTATCTATAAATTATCTCTAAGCTTTCTCAACTATGACTATCTATGATTCATCGAGAGTTGAGATAATGTGTGCTACTTCCTCTGAAATGTCTTGTCATTTGAGTTTAGCCTTATCATCATCCCCTCTTTCTGGTTAAATGGTTAAAATAAACTAAAGAATACAATTCAGGGAAACTCCGATAGCAAACACATGGAACTTGAGATTCTGTGAATTTACTTAACAAAGACAGCTCTCGCTGGGTTATAAATTCCGGAATCTCAGCAGTGGAGTTATCATTTCAGTTTGGTCCAGTGTTCCATCAAGACCCACTACAATGAACTCCTCAATTTCTTTGATGTAAGTAGTACTGCCATTTTATAATTATTAGGAATATGCTGTTAATTTTTACTTCTGTCACAGCTGCTTTGCGCTGCTCCTGGTTAGTCCTTTGTGCTTCGGGTACAGTAACCAACAACGGGAGGCCGATAGACTTAAAGTTGAGGAAATCATGCGCACTTCTCTGGACGCCGAAACCAAAATCAGTCGGACCCAGGATTTGCTGGATATTTATTACCGCTTGGCTCCCAGCTTGTCGCCTACGGAAAGGCAGAAAATTGACAACTTTATTAACCAGCACGCCGATGATGTATTAATCGACGGAGTTCCGAGCCAAGGCGGTAAAAAGAGAAGGATTCCTATAGATATCATTGCTAAGCCTGCAAAGGACGCAGCAACTGGGTTCTTCGAAGAACTAGGAAGCCAGATTGCTCAAGCACTCTCTAGTTGGTTTGGCTAAACAAATTTGTTTATTTGTTTGAATTGTTTGAATGATACCCAAAAATAAATTGTGTTCATAGAGTGTACAACTGTTATTGAACAAATTCAGAATAAAATGTTTTGACTTTTTAATAACCGTTTATAACTGGAGAAACTAAGGATTTCTATTTTGTTATCTTTCAAATGTATGTGGCTTTATTCAAACTGGTCACAAAAAAGTCAATATTTTCTCGAATTTAATTAAAAACTGTTTTGCCTTTATGATTGTTTTCTATAACGAATATTAATATATTAATTTTTTATTAAACCACAAGCTTTTTAATCTCTCCAGTCAAAATGATTTTTAACGTACGCATGTTAATTTAACTTATTCTTTTATATTAATTGTACATTATATTGATTTCATATGGTTGATTTGTATAAATTGATTTAAACACGAATTCACAGGTACTTTGAACGATAAGGGTGCTATTTTTACATATTGTGCACACTTTTCTATTAAACTCTAACCTAATATATTGTAACGAAACTTAGCTGCCCTGTCGAGGTTTCCAAGTTCGCCACTGTCAGCCGAGCGGATACTGTTTAATAGGTGGGGGTCAGCCCACGTTATGCCAACGCCATTCAAACAACCAAGCAAGAGTTCTTAAGATTTGTATATGGTTTTTATTACCCGCTTAAGGGGACGTTCTCTTTGTTTTGGATCAAAAAATCGATTTTTTTTTTTTTTGTAAAAATTTAAAGCCACATATCTTTAGAATATGTGTGTGAAAGGACATTTCGATACGACGCGTATTTCTTGAGCTAGAGCGTGTCAAACATACCCATTTATACCATGTATACCAGCGTTGCCAGTTTTTTTTTTTGGCAAGTCGGGACTTAGGAATTTTTTTAGTGAAAAAAGCGGGACTCTTACGTCGAAAGCGGGACATAATAAAAAACATATATAACCAGAAGTTTTTAAAATATTTACTGCTTCACTGCACTAAAACAAATGGTAATCGTTATTCTTTCGTTGATAATCGTACGTTTTCGTGACACAGAAAATTATAAGCAAATGAAAATAAGGAAAGAGCGAAGAGAAAGAGAGGAAGTCGCAGTCGCACGCGCCTCTCTTACTCCTGAGCGCTTCATCAGCCCGCACGTTCGAATTATCATTAAAAAGCGGGACTGAACCTGTCCCGCGCGGGACATTTAATTTTAATTTAAAAATCGGGACGTCCCGCCAAAATCGGGACGTCTGGCAACGCTGATGTATACCCAAGAAAGTTATCTTTAAACGCGTTTTTCTCGAAACCATGTTTTTCAACAAAATTACGCGTCCACAGCTTCATCCTGTGAACCGATTTGCTTCATGTAAATTTTTTATGAAAGTAGATGCTTTTCTTTAGGGCACTAACCTACTCCGGAAAAAAACAATAATTTATTTATAATTTTTCAACGTGGTTTAACTGAAAAAAAATGTACGAAAATCGAACTTTAAAATTCAAGCGTTCATTACGCGGTCAATTTATGGCTGCAATTTGATGCCACTAGGTTAGTGCCTCGCACAAGTATATTAACTTTACCTAATGGTAACAATTTTCTATTTCTGTTGACTACAAGAGGCTGCAGGCTCGTAATTTTGGGACGATGTTTGCCGCGCGGAGGCAGATGAAAGCCGCCATTTTGCAGCCGCCATTTTGAATTTCACCATCAAATAAATTTAAAAAAAATCCTGAATAATAAACGAATTCAAAAAGCAAAACCCGAAGTTCGTACGCCTTTTCATTATCCCACAAAAAATTAACGAACTTTGCCTTCATTTCGACCAAAACAAAGAGAACGTCCCCTTAATGACACAAGCATGCAACCTGGCAGAAAACCGGAAGAAGAGAGAGAGAGAGAAGATCGATCAGTGTGATCGCTATCTTCCCAAACTTTTTGGCAGGCTTTTTACAGGTCCTAGAGTGACCGGTCGTTGGCCTGTCCTAGGGTTGCCAGATGTCAGCTTTGGTACTGGTCACCTGGTCAAGTCATTTGAAACCAACTTTCGTTACATTACCCCCCTCTTAGACTCGAGTCTCCTGGCCGAGTGTTCGATCGATGATACTTGACCAGGCGGTTGACGTGGACGGTCTTGGTAGAACGCTTGCCAGGTAGACGGACCTCATAAACCAGATCGGAATGTCGTCGTATTACAGTAGCGGGGCCAATCCAGTCAGACTGTAGTTTCGGGCACCGCCCGACTTTTCGAGTGGGAGCGTAGAGCCAAACATCCTCACCAGCTTCAAATTCGACCGGATGTGATCGGAGATCGTAGCGGGTTTTGTTTACCTTGGCCGCGGCTAGAAGCTGTACTCGGGCGGCCTGGTGTGTCTTCCGAAGGTTCTCCTGTAGCCGCTCTACGTATTCGGGGTAGCTTTGGGAGCTAGGAGACGGGTGCCCGTATATCAGTTCGGCCGGTAGGCGTAACTCACGCCCCAGCATTAATAGTCCGGGTGAGAATCCAGTGGCTTCATGCGGAGCTGAGCGATAAGCCCACAGGGCTAACGGTAGGAGTTGGTCCCAATCCCGCTGATCGGCTGCTACGAATTTTGCTAGATAGTCCAGCAGGGTTCGGTTGAACCTTTCGACCATGCCATCGGACTGAGGGTGAAGCGGGGTCGTTCGGGTCTTTTCCACATCAAGAAGGCGCATGCAGGATTGAAATACCGCGGACTCAAAATTGCGGCCCTGATCCGAGTGTAGTACAAATGGCACTCCATAGCGGCAGAAAACTTCTTGCACAAGGGCCTTGGCTACGGTTTCAGCCGTCTGATCAGGAAGGGCGATGCATTCGGGCCATTTGGTGAAGTAACACATCACTACGGCAATGTACCTGTTGCCAAGCGAGGTGGTAGGCAAAGGCCCCAGAATGTCGATCGCTAGCCGTTCGAAGGGGGCGCCAATGGAGCTTGGTTGCAGCTGTCCCACCGTTCGTCTAGATGGTCCTTTCCTCGCGTTGCACTTGAGGCAGCGTGCACACCAGATGGCTACGTCGGCTGATTGACCGATCCAGAAGTACCGTTTCTTTACTTTGGCAGTCGTCTTCTTGACTCCAAAGTGGCCTCCAGTAGGCGCATTGTGAGCGTGGCGTAGGGTTTCCTCCCGCAATGATTGCGGTACTAGGGCCACTTGCTCACCAGTCTTGATCCGGGTTTTTATAACGCCGTCTTCCAAGTGAAGGTTTTCGAATGAATGCCAGTAAGCTTTGATGTCGGGGCTTTCGCCCCAAATCTGGGATTTGAGGGGTCGTTTTCCATTTTCCAACCATGATAGGACCACGGCTAAAGTTGGGTCCTGTCGTTGAAGTTGGGCATAATCGACAGCTTCGATTTGCATGAAGAGGACTCCTGGTCTGTCGGACTGCTCAGCTTTTTCGCACACCCTGCATTCACCACAGGGTCGGCGTGAAAGAGCGTCAGCGTTTCCATGATGTTTACCACTTCGGTGTTGAATGTCCATATGGTACTGCTGTAAACGCTCGATCCAGCGAGCTAGTTGGCCTTCCGGTTCCTTAAAATTGAACAGCCAGCGGAGCGATGCATGGTCCGTCCGCAAGACAAACTTTCGTCCGTACAGATAATGATGAAAATGTTTGGTGGAGAGAACGGCGGCTAGCAATTCTCTTCTGGTGACGCAATAGTTGCGCTCTGCTGCGTTAAATGTTTTGCTGTAGTATTCCAAAACTCGCTCCTGACCTTCCTGACATTGGCTGAGTACAGCTCCAGCGCCGTGATTGGATGCGTCAGTGTCGAGAACGAACAGGCCATTGGGATCTGGAAAAGTGAGTACTGGTGACGATGTCAGCTTTACCTTAAGCAGGCCAAATGCATCCTGAGCCTCGGTGGACCACGTGAAGGGGCGGCGGGCCTCGGTTAACTCATGCAGCGGCCGGGCTATTGTCGCAAAAGCTGGGATGAACTTGCGGTAGTACGAGCACAATCCCACGAATGATCGTACCTCTTTCTGGTTGCGGGGCGGTGGCCAATCGACTACTTTTTGAATTTTCTCGGGGCATGCCTTCAATCCGTTGTGGCTCACAATGTGACCGAGGTAGTTCACTTCGGGGCGGAAGAAAGCACATTTACGTGGACTCAACTTGAGGCCGGCGGTTGCCAATCGGTCGAATACTTGGTCCAAATGAACAAGGTGCTCCTCGGCCGTGCGGGAGTGCACGATTATGTCGTCCAAGTACACCAGTGTCGACTTCCAAGAGAGACCGGAAAATAGGCCGTCCATCAAGCGCTCGAAGGTTGCGGGCGCGTTTGTCAAACCGAATGGCATAACATTGAATTCGAACAACCCCACGTCACAAGTGAATGCAGTTTTGGGGCGTGATTCCTCGTCCATTTCTACTTGCCAATATCCACTTTGTAGATCCATAGTAGAAAACCAACGGGCGCCATGCAAGGTAGTCAGGATGTCGTCCATTTTTGGCAACGGGTACGAATCTTTCACCGTGACGTCGTTCAGACGGCGATAATCCACGCAGAATCTGGTGGATCCATCCTTTTTTTTAACTAGGACTACGGGCGATGCCCATGGGCTGGTGGAGGAACGGATCACGTCTCTTGACTGCATATCAGCGATTAACTGTTCCACCTCCGATTTCCGGGAAAGTGGAACCCGACGTGGTGGTTGCTTAATAGGCCGGGCCTGGCCGGTGTCGATGGTGTGATGGGCAAGGTTAGTTCGCCCCATATCATCGTCCCTTTGGGCAAACACGGTCTTGTAGCGTTGGAGTAGTTTCTGCCAGTCCACGTGAAGGTTTGTCGGTAAGTCTGGCGGTAGTGCCAGCGACGTCCAATTCGTACTGTCGGGCTTCAGCGACTTTGGCGCGACCGGCAGTACTTCGGCTGGTTCCACTTGGCCCAAAATGGTGAAGATTGGTAATCGGCACTCCCTGGAACTCGGGTTCAGCAGGTGCAGAATGGTAGAGTTCTCCGTATTGCTCACCACCGTACTGCCCAAGATTACCTCAGTAGGCAACTGGGAGAAGGCACCACGCTCCAAGACTGCCACGGGACATCTATCCCGTGATAGGCAGCTGACTTTCAGAAAGGTGTTGCTGTAAGGCGGAATTCTGGTGGCGACTGTGGAGTACAGTAGGCTTGGCAGCGTCTCACTTGGGGGGTGTAGAGGGATCGCACCCCACGGAAATTTGAGGTGTAGCGCTTTTAGATCCACGGATGCCTGTTGACGCAACAGAAAATCGATGCCCATAAGGCTCGGGGTGTTGCCCTCCACCAAGAGGAATTCGTGTTGTAAGGGTCGGCCAGCTATAACCAGACTGGCTAACACCCGGGCTGTGGCGATGAACTGTTCTGCAGACGGACCTTGTAGAACAACGTGGCACGGGGTGGTGGTTAACCGTTCCTGAACGTCTCCACGGTTGAGGAGGGAGACGGAGGCGCCAGTGTCTACGATCAGTCGGACTGGGGTCTTCTGTAAGAAGATAAAACAGTGTAAATGCTGACCACTACGTGAACTGCAGGTATACGTAGCTTTAGTGGGCAAGGCGTTGAGCTCCTGTTGGATATAGGCCGGTGGCGCAGGGTCAACTTCCTCGGATGTCGGGTCAGCAAACAAACGGGCCAAAACGGACTCAGGTTCTTCAAGGGCTGTGAAGCGTTCGGCAGTTTGTTGAGATTTCGGGGGCCGGGCGAGTGCATGGGTCGCAGAGGCGACAACTCGATCTTCCGGCAGTAGTTTCGTTTCGAAACGCTTAAGCGGCGGCGTCAAAGCGCATTCGCTGAGCGGCGGCTCTTGGAACAGCAGGGCACGGGCGGCGTCGACTTCCTCTGAAGGAGCGGCAGGTGCGGCAATGAACTGTTCGGTGGTTTGTTGAGATTTTGGGGGCCAGGCGAGTACATTGTTCGCGGGGGCGACAAGTCCAGCTTCTGACAGGGGTTTCGCTTCAACACACTTAAGCGGCGGCGTCAAAGCGTATTCGCTGAGCGGCGGCTCCTCAAACAGCAGGGCACGGGCGGCGTCGACTTCCTCTGAAGGAGCGGCTGGTGCGGCAGTCAACTGTTCGGTGGTTGTTAGCTTTACCGGGGGACCTTCTCGTGCGTAGTCTCCAGTTGCCAATACTTTGGGTGGCGGCGAAGTAGCGTAGGCCAAGGTAGGCCGTGATCCATTGGCACTCTCTCCGGGCGGCGGCATTACTGGCGCTGGGGGCAGGACGGCTTCGACTCTCGTAGGAGGAAGGCTCTGTCGGGCAATAAGCTGCTCGGTAAGCGGCGGTCTCGCGGTGAGGTGCGGCAAGGGGCCACGGGCCATGGGCTCGTGTTCACTCGTCCAAATTGAGGCTACAGGTGGGCTACGTTCCTTTGGCGTCCAAGGGTAAAACTCGTCTTCGACATTGGTAGGCGCCAGAGCAGGAAAAGGTTTGGTGGGGCTGTCGGCATTGTTTGCCAACCTCCGCCCCGAGAGGCTGGCGGCATTTAGTTTCCCGCTAGAGTAGCAGGATGGGGAGATGACTCTGGACTGGCACGCGTGTTGCGGCGTGCGCCTCGGCCACCTCTCCTTGGCGTTGACAGTTGAGTTTCAGCAGTTATGGCGGAGATATTCATTACGGTACCGCCTGGGCGACGACGGCATTGTGCCTCTATGCGAACGGCCATATCGAGGGCGTCCATTAGTGACCGCGGGTTACTGCTTATGATCGGCACCTGGTATGCCGTCTCTCGGATGCCATCGATAAAACGTTGAACCATTATGTTGTTGTAGGTCGGCTCAGGCAGCTCTCCAAAAACTGCTCTCCCAAGGCGTTCGAGTTCCATTGCGAAGTCATCGAGTGTTTCTTTTGGGCCCTGCATACGGTTATGAAAAATGTGATAGCCCGTATGCGTCCCTACAGTGAAATGCTCGCGCATAGCCGTTTTGATGGCCTCGTAGGACCGAAGAGTAGACTCTGGGAGGGTAGCGTGAAAGCGTTGAGCGCGCCCGCGCAGGCTTGTGTACAGCTTCCGGCACTTCTTTCTCTCAGACCAGTGATACTCCTCTGCCATGTCGTCTAACAGGCGTTGAAACTCGGACCATGGTCTGGTACCGTCGAATATTGGGGGTATCTCCGTGTCTGGCAACTCTAAAAAGTCCCAATATCGAGAAGGAATGACTGCTTGCGATGCTCTGGTCGAAACTCCATCGGCTGCAAGGCCCGCACTGTTCGCTTTCGAAGGCTGCGGATCATAAGAGCGGGCCGTAGGTGCTACCGGCGGCTCCACTTGGCAATTGCGACGTGCTGGGTCGTCCGTTGGGGGTGCAAACAGGCGTGGCGTGCTAGCAGAGAGCATTGGCTCCCCCGCCGGCATGGCCGCTGAAAAGGTATCTGTGGTGTTGGCCGGTCCTTTTGCTACACCTTGCAAGCCACCAAGCATGGTCCTCTCGAAGGTCGCCCACATTTGCTCAAACTTTTGCTCGAACTTTCGTTCTAGAGACTTGTCAATTACGCTTACTTTTTCTTCCAGCTTTTGCATGAAAGACTGAATCTGCTGCTGTTGTGCACCCTCTCCCATATTCCCATCGGGTGAGGGCTGGCGTTGGCGAACTTTTTAGGCATTTTCTTTGGATCTGGGTTTTCGCAAACCCACGTGACCCCACACCTGGCACCAATGTAACGAAACTTAGCTGCCCTGTCGAGGTTTCCAAGTTCGCCACTGTCAGCCGAGCGGATACTGTTTAATAGGTGGGGGTCAGCCCACGTTATGCCAACGCCATTCAAACAACCAAGCAAGAGTTCTTAAGATTTGTATAAGGTTTTTATTACCCGCTTAATGACACAAGCATGCAACCTGGCAGAAAACCGGAAGAAGAGAGAGAGAGAGAAGATCGATCAGTGTGATCGCTATCTTCCCAAACTTTTTGGCAGGCTTTTTACAGGTCCTAGAGTGACCGGTCGTTGGCCTGTCCTAGGGTTGCCAGATGTCAGCTTTGGTACTGGTCACCTGGTCAAGTCATTTGAAACCAACTTTCGTTACAATATAATAGTTTAGTTCGCATTATCAGTTGTTAATTGGTATTTTTCTCAGAACTGAATATATTTAAATACTTGCAATTTCAAAATTGCTTGCACATCTCGCTGCAGTTTCAGGTTAATCATTTCGGTTTGCTCCAGTGCGATCAGAATGAGTTCCTCAATATTTCTGGTGTAAGTTGCACCATCGATTTAATTTATGTAGAATATTAAGTAATTTTTTTTATTTTATCACAGGTGCGCTGCGCTGCTCCTAGTCAGTCCTTTGTGCTTTGGGTACAGTGATCAAGAACGGGAGGCCGATAGACTTAAAGTGCTAGAAATCATTCGCTCTTCCCTGGACGACGAAACCAAAATCAGTAGGACGCAGGAACTGCTGGATATTTATTACCGCTTGGCTCCCAGCTTGTCGCCCGCGCAAAGGGAGATATTCGACAATTTTATTAGCCAGCACACCGATGAAATACTAATCGAAGGAGTTCCAAGCCAAGGTGGTCGAAGGAGCAAGTATGCAAAAAATGCCCTGACTGGAGCTGCGAAGGGAGTGGCAACTGGATTCTTCGAGGAATTGGGTAGTAAACTTGCCCAATATTTTAGTGATTGGTGGTCCTATTTTTATAATAGAAAATGGCAATACTAATTATATATGTTGACTTTTCGTTAACTTGTGAAATACCGATTTAAACGGGAGAAAGTTATTAAATTTACTACATTTTCCTTGTGTGGATGTGGTATCAATTAAACAATTTAAAACGACTAGCCAATATTCTGCATTTTCTTACGTTAAGCAAAATTCTGTTTTCAAGAATCTCACGACTAGTAAGGGTATTTTTTTTTTACGAATTTTCGCTATGCGATTGCTTGTTTGTCGGATTAATGTAAGTTGAAATTTGACGATAGTCCCGCTTGCTGCCACAATGACCAAATCACAAAGTAACTTATTACCCAATAATTCTTTTAAAACAACAAAAAATAAGTTTAAAATATTTTACCGTATTACAGTTTTTATAAATCTTTTTTTTTTTTTTTTTAATCGCCAACGGTTTTTTATAATCTCTCCAAGCAATATGATTTTTAATGTTCGAATGTTATTTGAACTTTTACTTATCTCTTTTGTTTTCATTGGAAATTATACTGATTAAATATTGTCGATTTAAATATAATAATTGAAATATGAATTCATCGGAACGTTGAATGATAAGCGTTACATTTTTACCTACAGTACACACATTTCTGTTGAACTCTCAATTTATTATATTTTTGCTCTCATTATCAGCTGTTATTCATTATTTTCTCAGAACTGCTGAGATTGATGCCTTTGAATTTTTAAGACTGCTTGGGCCTCTCGCTGGGGTATAAATTCAGGTTTTTGAAGACAGGTTTATCACTTCGGTTTGTTCCAGCGCTTCATTAAATCCTAGCGAAATGAAATCCTCAATTCCTCTAATGTGAGTACATCTATCGTTTTAATTTAATTAAGACATATAATTTCATTCTTCTTCTACACAGGTGCTTTGCACTCCTCCTCATAAGTCCTTTGTGCTTTGGCTACACCGACGAAGAACGGGAAGCCGATAGACTTAAAGTGGCAGAGATCATGACCACTTCCCTGGACGATGAAACCAAAATCAATAGGACCCAGGAATTGCTGGATATTTATTACCGCTTGGCTCCCAGCTTGTCTCCTGAAGAAAGGGAGAAAATCGACGTTTTTGTTAATGCGAACACCGACGCTATATTAATCGACGGAGTTCCGAGTCAAGGCGGACGGAAGTCCAAGATCGCTTCAAAGATCGTGAATAAAGTCGCAAGGGATGCGGCTACTGGATTCTTTGAAGAATTGGGCAGTACCCTTGCCAGAAAATTCAATGAATGGTTTGGTTAAACCGTCTTTATTATTTCTTTAAATTTTATAGTTTTGGGAGCTTTCACAATGTTGATTGCAACAAAAAATTGTGTAAAAGTGTTTGGTTCTTACTAAATAAAACTATTGAAAATCAATGCTATTCTATATTTTGACTTTTTGAAAACCTGTAAAGGAATACCCAAAAAACCAAAAAACCCTATACGAAAATTTTATTTGTATACAATTTGTCTCTCAAGTGGATGTGGTATTAATGATATTTGACAATGCAAAGTCAATAAGTCCAACCAAACTAAATACTATTTTGGTGTTAAAAGTATAGTAAATAAAATTATTATCGATTATTGGCGTTAATTTGGTCAGAAAAACTTCTCAAAAATTCGGCTAGGGACTCGAAACCCAGGGCAATCTTTAAAAACTTATGTGGTATGTATACAATACAATCAGCCTATTTTTAAAATGCCATCAGTATTCACTTTAGTGTTATTCCCTGGGTTACTAGTTCTCTTCTCAAGAAGTATTTGGCATTGACATTTTGGGCATTAAGCCCAAAGTAACTCTTTAATCAATATTTATTTTTAAGCGGTTATATATGTTGAGGTGCGGGAGTACGGGGAAAATTTTCAGTTTTTGTAGTCACTAAGCCATATTTTTGTTGAAAAAATTCTTATTTGTAAAATCAGCTTAAGAACTTAAAAAAATACTTGTAATTTTCAAAGTTATGACAAAACGCAACACGAGTTTTTTCAAGAAGGCTTGCCTGGACTACGGTTCCATTTCATAAGCTCAACTGAAAGCTAAACAAATTTTGTTAGTTTAAGGACTTTTGGTGTCATTGAACGATTCATTGAAATGAGAAAAAATTGTTTCTCAATCGGGACCTGATTGAATTGCTTTGAAATATGCATAACATAAGTATGAAAAGGCTTAAACGCAAATAAATTACGAACAATTAAAAAACAATTTAAATCGGTTAAAAACTATTTCGAAAATCCAAGTCACCGCGACGTCGTTTTTAATTTCGAAATAATCGCGTATAAAACCTTAAATTCATTTTTCCTAGTGTACTACTTAAAGATTAAAAATAGAACATAGTTCAAGTAGTAATAAATGCACAAACATTTATTCTAGGAAGTGATTCGTATTTTTTATTATTTTTATATTATTTTTTTTTTCTGTTTAAATCTTTTCATACAACACCTTTAACGAAGTACGCTTTATATTTGAACTTTCGTTTGTTACTTTTGTATTAACAGGAAAATATTAAGGTTAAATATCAATTATTTATATAAATTAATGAAAGTGTTAACTCATCAGCGCATGATTGATAAGGAACACATATTGACATATGGTATAATGTACACATTTCTGCTGAACTCTCAATGTACTATAGCTTAGTTCAGCATTATCAATTCTTATTAAAGATTTTTCTCAGAAATGATAAGATTGTTATATATGTGAGAACTTGCTTGGTCAGGGAAATTGAAAATTAAGGAGGAGGTTGGTCAAGGTTTTCAAATAATTAGCACTTTCTCAAAAATGTGCCACACCAAGCCTTCTAATGTAAAACTAAAAGGGCTTACGTTTGCACCTCCGGCTGGGGTATAAATTATGGTTCGCAAAAGCAGATCTATCAGTTCAGTTTTCTCCAGCATTCCAACAAGTTCTAGAAACATGAAATCCTCAATTTCTCTGATGTAAGTAGAACTTTGCTTTTAATTTAATTTAGACATTTACTTTATGTTTCTTTTACACAGGTGCTTTGCACTCCTCCTCATAAGTCCTTTGTGTTTTGGCTACTCTGACGAAGAACGAGAAGCCGATAGACTTAAAGTGGCAGAGATCATGACCACTTCCCTGGACGATGAAACCAAAATCAATAGGACCCAGGAATTGCTGGATATTTATTACCGCTTGGCTCCCAGCTTGCCGTCTGAAGAAAGGGAGAAAATCAATGTTTTTGTTAATGCGAACACCGACGCTATATTAATCGACGGAGTTCCGAGTCAAGGCGGACGGAAGTCCAAGATCGCTTCAAAAATCGCGACTAAAGCTGCAAAGGATGCGGCTACTGGATTCTTTGAAGAATTGGGTAGTACCCTAGCCAGAAAATTTAATGAATGGTTTGGTTAGACAATCCCTAAAACTTGATTCAAACTTTAAAATTTTTGGAAGCTTTTGCAATGTTGATTCCCATAACTGTGTAAAAATTGTTTAATTTTTTTAAAATAAAATTTTTTACTTCTATGTTCTGACTTTTTGATAACCTGTAACGAAATTCCCAAAAACCAGAAAATCCCTATACGAACGGAAAAAAGTTTTTTGTATTTCATTATCTCTTAAGTGGATGTGGTATTAATCACATTTAATACTGAAAATTCTACAAGTTCCCCGAATTTAATAACTTTTCTTTGAATATTTGTTATATATTCTCACCTTATAGGCAAAGGCATTCGGGCTATCGGTAAAAATTACGTATACGTATATATACGTATACACTATACACACTATATTTTAGATAAAAGAAGAAATAATATTCGATATTTAAACCTATTACAACACATTTAATCCTTCAAATTATTTAATATTACCTTTTATCGGTCTTGCAAATGTTATTATTTCATTATTTGTTTTTGTTCTAGTCTTTTCAAACTAATTGAACCTTTAGTTGTCATTTTTGTAATAACAGGAAATTATGCTGATTAAAGATCGGTGATTTCTATATATTTTATTGAAATATAAACTCATCGAAGCTTTGATTAATAAGGTTTACATAAGAAAATTCAGAATTCCCAGGACAACAAAACGAAATTCCTCACAACACAGGAACTGCTTGATGCTTTGTCTCTCTTTTTGAACCCAGAAAATAGGGATCAAGAGTTGATTTGCTTACGAAATAATTTAGTTGAAAAAATTACAGATTTCTGTTTATTATTAAATATTAAATTTTATTAAAATCGGATAACTGTATCATATAGCTGCCATAGGAAAGATCGAAAAATATATACATATAGAAATAACGGAAATAAAATTAAATCATCGTTGTTTTTCATCAGATAAACATGATCTTTGGAATATAGAGTTTTCTAACTACTCTTGAATAACATATTAAATTTCATCAAAATCGGACAACTGACATACGAACAATAGTCGAAAATATGGAAAATTAATAGAAAAATCGTCATAGTTTCGATGCTGTTTAGCCCTTATGCATTTTGATCGACATATGATCGACTCCAAGGGTATATAAGCTTCGGCTTGCCGAAACTAGCTTCTTTTCTTATTTAATTTAATTTAGGCATTCGATTTTTCTTTTCTTTTATCACAGGTGCTTTGAACTTCTCCTCATAAGTCCTTTGTGCTTTGGCTATACCGACGAAGAACGGGAAGCCTATAGATTTAAAGTTGTATAAATCATGCGCACTTCAAAGGACGACGAAACCAAAATCAATAGGACCCAGGAATTGCTGGATATTTATCAGAGTTGCCACGAAAGTGATCTCGCCGAGTACCGAATACCGAATGTTCGGCAATGCTGTCAGCCGAACAGTACTACATACTACAGTGTTGCCAGTTAAGCTTATTCTAAGAGATTTCTATCATATTTAAAACTAGAAAAGCTGCTAGCTTATTTGAAGTTTCGAAATTTGCTAAAATATATCCCTTTTCTGCTAGGAGAAGCGTATATAGTGAAAGGTTGTTTTCTGAAGCTGGTATTGTTTACGACGAAAAGCATAATCGTTTACTACCGTCAATGCTGAAAAACTTGTGTTTGTCCATCACAACTTACCGCTGATGAATTTTACTTATTAAAATATTGTAATTTGATAAAAGTGATGTGTTTTTTTCTATGATTTGGTACTATTCGGCATTCGGCGACTAAAGCTGCAAAAGAACTGGGTGGTATCCTTGTCAAAAAATTCAATGAATGGTTTGGTTAAACAATCTTTTGTATTGTTCCAATTTTATAATTTTCGGAGCTTTTACAATGTTAATTCGCACGGATAATTGTGTAATTGGTTTTTATTAAAAAAAATTATTTAAAATCTTTACTGTTCTATATTTTGACTTTTTGAAAATACCTAAAACAAAAATTAAATTATATTATCATTTTATTATTATATAGTCCAAAAATACCTTTTGAATCAATTTTTCTTTTTAAGAGGTTATATCTTTTGAGGTGCGGCAAAACTTCCAGTTTATGTAGAGTCACTTAGCCATATTTTTATTTAAAAAACAAAAACAATTACGAACAATTAAACAAACAATTTTAATCGGTTAAAAACTATTTCGAAAATCCAAGTCACCGCGACTACGATTTCCAATTTCGAAATAATCGCGTATAAAGTTCAAGTTAATTTTTTCAAGTGTAACAAGCAAGATGCAAAACCCAATAAGTATCTTCTAAGATAACAATCTATAAATTCTTTACTTTAAGAAAATAATAAAAAATTGTATAATTTTTTAATTACTTTATCATAGTATTAACATAGTTCAAGAAGTAACACCCTAAATGCACAAATATTTCTTCTAGGAAGTGTTTTACAATTTTGTCGGTTTTGCAGTTTTTATTTTTTTTATTTTAAATTTTTTATACAACACGATTTAAGACGAATACTTTGTAATTGAACCTTCGCTTTTCACTTTTCTATTAACAGGAAAATATAATGATTTAATTTTGATTATATATATATATATATATATATATATATATATATATGCAGTAGAATCCTGTTATAACGACTCCGCTTATAGTGTCCGTCCGGGTATTGCGACGAAAACTCGATGGCTTGATTGGTCCCCAGACAGACTTATATCCTTTTGCTTAGTGCGTCTTCCGGGTATAACGACGAAAACTCGTCGGTCCCTTGAAAGTCGCTATAAGCGGATTCTACTGTATATTAATAAAAGTGTTAGCTCATTGGCGCTTTGATTGATAAGGAATACATGTTTACATATGGCATAATGAACTCTCAATGTACTATAGCTTAGTTCAGCATTATCAATTGTGAGAACTTGCTTGGTCAGGGAAATTGAAAATTGGTTGGTCAAGGTTTTCAAATAATTAGCACTTTCTCGGAAATGTCCCACACCAAGCCTTCTAATGTAAAACTAAAAGGGCTTACGTTTGCACCTC